AAGAGAAAAGAAAGAGAAAAGAAAGAGAAAAGAAAGAGAAAAGAAAGAGAAAAAGTAATAACAGACCTAGGAAGAAAGAAAGAAAACGGACAGGAAGGAGTAATGAGCAGCGAGGCCAAACCAGCTTTTAGAGGCCACCCACGCATTAGAAGGGAGAGGGTCTTAATTGCACATATGAAGACGAGAACCAGCATATATCGACGGTCGTTCTACGGACAGAGGAATGACCAGATTGCCTGTGTCGTAGAAGGCCTCGACCTGTTGCGCTGGCAACAAAGGCGAGGCAGCAGAGCGCTGGGAAGCTGGTTGATTTGAAGCAGTATAGTACATTTCATCGAGATGCTTGATTTGTTTCTGAGTCTATCTATTGTATGCATTAAATCCGTGAATAATGTACCTAGACAGCGCGTCACAGACGGCCATAAAAACCGCCCACGATGAAGACAACGAGAGGATGATTGCCGTTGAGAAGGCCATTCACGAGCGGTTCCAGCAACGCGGTGGACACGATGGGCTACTGAAATATCACGGGCCCTACGACTTTGGCATCCGCCTCGAGTATGCCCCAAAATGGAATCTCTCTGCCTACCTTGGCGAGCATCCAGGGACGAGCGTTTGAGCAAGAACTACGGTGGGTCTATCAGATTAGAGACGCCCTCTGTTATGCTCATAACTCGAACGTCATCCACGGTGATCTAACGCTTCATAACGTGCTCTTGACGGATAAGCTCGATGCAAAGTTGGCCGACTTTGGCAGCTCGTCCCTGGATGGGTCTCCTCTGCTTGTTGTCGTAAACGTCAGCCACCGATATCTGGGGCCAAGGGAATCCGTCCGCGCCGACCTCTTTGCTCTCAGTTCTCTACCATATAATGACAGGTGCTTTCCCTTATCAGGACCTCTTGGAGTCAGGAAATTGGAAAAAAAAAAAAGTCAAGCCTCGATCAAGGCCGGCGACTTCCCAGAGACAGAAACTCTTGGGCCTGTCGGAGTGATTATTACAAGGTGTTGGCGAACGACGTACGCCAGTGCTGCCGATGTCCGCAAGGATATTGAAGGGGTAAGTTGTTTGTCTCCGTCCCATATCCCCTCTTAAAAAAGACTTGGTACACCTGTTTGTGCACGTTTCGAGTCTCACCTTATACTCAATGTAAGTACACTTTTTTTTTTCCTTTGGATGAAGTTCCCTACCATATGTCCTCTTAGAAACGACATGCTTAGATGCTTAGCCTTGTTTGTGCACGTTTCCAATGTCACTTTGTAGTCAATGTAGGTACACGTTTCTTTTCCTTCGCATGGTAATCTAGGCAGGAGGCGTTTAGAGTTTCACGATTACCTTATCAATCTCTCTGTTGGGTTCCTTATAACGGGTGGCGAACTCATCATCTCCGATGCGCGATGCTGCACATACCAAAAATTAGATTGCCGAGAACTTACGAGATCTGCTCAGAGAAAAGCGAACGACATGTGCAAGCAACTACAGCATATCGGCAAAAGGAGTCTAGGAGTTTCTCCACTATACCTAGATAGAAAATTAGTTCTAGTTCTAGGAAGCTCGAAAATCGCGTATAATAGGCTCTTGTAGGTGCGCAGCTGCAGGAGCTGCTGCAGGACTATAGTTTCCTATTGTCGTAGCACTAAGCAGTAAGCCTCTTAGCTACCCTACTAGAAACTAGCCCTCGATAAGAGGCTTACAAAAGATAATAGAAAATTAAACTAAACAGTCTATCCTAAACAGCGCGCCTAAAATTTCGCCTATTATACCTACCCTCTAGCCCGTGCGAGAGATCCTTAATTTCGAAACTAAACACTGCCTTAGGCGATAAGTCCCTAACCTCCGAAATGCGAATGCGGCAGTTCCTTAAGATAGCTGAATAGAAAGACTACATCTACAATCAGCATTCTAAAGATTCTAAGGCGCTGGAATGCCCTCTAAGTAAGCTCTATTGTAGAGAGTCATTTACGTCATTGCGGGAGCTCCAGTTTCATCTTGAAGATGTCTACTGTGTCAATTTTAAGAGTACTCTTAAAAGGTCTAGGTCAACGGGCGAAGGGAGACCTAGACCAACCAAGCGGACATGCGTTAGCAGGAGACGACTGTCGAGACAGAAGACAGAAGGTCTGACATATAAATTTGTCGAGGAAAGTGATACGATTTAGAATCAAGGAAAGAGGTCAACATCCCGTCCTACTCTAATCAAAGCCCCAGCTTCTGCCAGCTCAAGCTCCTCGCCAATCCCGGAAACTATGTTAGATAAAAACGAAAGCGACGATGATACGCTACTGTCTTTGTAGTCCGGCGAATCTAAGAAAGGTCTCGATAACAAAGATGCTTTTAGTAAGGGAGCCAATAATAAGGATTGGGAGCACACTAGTGAGATTGACCATCTGTAGAGCAATCACCCACAAATTCTAACGAGTAAACAGACGACATAACTTTTTCAGGCGCTAGAGAAGCTAAGGTAAATAAGCAAAATGATAATTTCTAGGGCACAAACTTTCGCGAGGAGTCGCCGCCGCCTGGACTTCAACATGAGTGCGCTCTAGCGGCGCACTCCCAGTCTGACCTAGCTCTTCCCACCCAAGGGGATGAAGAAGACGAATACGAGGTTGAGGAAGTCCTGGAGGCCCGTATCTTCAAGACAAAGCTCAAATACCGCGTGAAATGGCTCGGCTACGACTATGATCCGAAGTGGTATGACGCAGCCAACTTCAAGAATAGCCCACACGAGCTCCATGCCTTCCATAGAGCTGATCCAACCCGACCCGGACCTCCAAAAAGGCTGGATTATTGGATGCAGTGCTGGGAAGAGGATAGGAAAGCTGAGGACCATCCAGAGGACAACAAGCCGATGAATGGGTTAGTTGGACGGCGTGGAAAACTTCGCTAAGAAGGATTAGAAGTTAGGTGTTGGTGTTATTTTCTACTTAGCTTGCGCAATGAAACACCCTCTGCGCCGAGACATCGAAGGGTAGCCTGACATTCAGCAACTGGAACACGTAGGCAGTAGGATAATAAGTTTTTGCTAGTTACGAGATCCTTCGGAGGTACTAACGTGACAGACTCGTCCGATAGTGCTATCACATGCAGGATATTCTTAATTTTTCAGTGTGGGGGGTTCGTTATAACCGTTTGAAAGTAATCCACAACTCACATGCATGGGTGAAGCCGGTGTTCTAAAGTAACATGCACGCAGTCTAGGGATAGAAGCGACTTTTGCAAAGATGGTGAGAGCAATTACTTCGAAGAACTCAAAATACTTAAACCTAATAATCCATCTCTTATTCACCGCCAACACTGGACCAACCGGATCCATTATCCGCCACCTTCCACCGGCTCTTAGTCACGGGAAATATAGTCTGATCAGCTCCTGAGCGAATCCGTGCTTTTGTCTGTGCAATCATTGACCTTGCTCGAGCTTGCGGGTAACAGGAAACTATCATGGTGGCTGACTTATATCAATACCATAATCGTAGAATGACTTGAGAGGAACGGAAGGACGTACTGTAATATTCCAATACCCGCAAGCCATCACACAGCTTGTACCAGTAGGGGTATGGAGCTGCTGGGCTACATAAGCTAGCCCAAAACAGCAGGTTGAGTAGTCCACGCAGAGGCAGCCGTAATCCCCTGGACAGCGTCCGGAGTAGGGGTCTCGGCATTCATTGTCCTTGATGCTAAAGCAAGGAACTGTCGTGAAGACTTCGCCGATGCCGTATCGACAGCCACCGCGCGGCTCTACTGCTGAACTATCCTCAACAGCCAACGGAGAGGCCGTAGCTAGCTGAGCCGCCAGGAAACCAAAGACAGAGAGATGAAGTCTCATATTTGCGACTACAGTCCTCCAGGAAGGTTGGTAGTGGTTAGGGTGGTGTTGGATAGGCCGAATGGACAAGATATGTACGGTCCTTGGTTCAAATAGAAGTAAACGCTTGATGGTAATAGTATGGGCCTAAAATCGGGAAGATGAAGAGAAGATATTTAACGTGGTTCACAAGCGAGTGTCACACACAAGCGAGTGTCACACTTTTTCCTCACTATAACCTACCAACTTTAACGCACGATATCTCATCCAATATGACAACTGATTACTCCAAAGAACGCCGCATGCAGCTAGCAAAAACCGCAGTTCAAATAAACCCAAAACTAAGTATCGCCCATGCTGCAAAAAACTACAATGTCCACGAACGAACACTTGCTCGTAGAATGAAGGGAACTCAGTCGAGAGAGGATACACGCAATGCACAGTCAAAACTCACTGTAGCTGAAGAGGAGGTGATTGTTGAATATATTCTTGACCTGGATTCATGAGGGTTTCCACTCCAAAAGGCTAATGTTCAAGAAATGGCAGATCTTCTACTTAAGTCATGCGATACGTCACGCGTCAGAGTCAACTGGGTTTCCAACTTCATTGCACGATGCCCAGAGCTCAAGACACGTATCCATCGTACCTACGACTATCAGAGGGCCCTCCAAGAAGATCCTGAAGTTATTAGTGCATGGTTCCACCTGGTTGTTAATATATTTGGGAAATATGGCATTACCGATCACGATATCTACAACTTCGATGAGACTGGCTTTATGATGGGTCAAATCCAGCCATTTATGGTTGTTACATGCTCAGACCGAAGGGGAAGGGCTAAGAGGGTACAGCCAGGTAATCGAGAGTGGGCGACAGCAATTTGCACCATTGCAGCGGATGGATTTGTACTACCACCTTTTCTGTGCATAAAAAGCCGGTTCCACATCGTTTCCTGGTATGCCAACAACCAAATTCCCAACAACTGGATTATCAAACCAACTGAAAATGGTTGGACTGATAACCTAATGGGTCTCGACTGGATTCAGCACTTTAATCGCCATACGGAGGCACGGCGGGCTGGCGCATATTGCATGCTTATCCTTGATAGGCATGGGAGCCATCTCAGCTCTGAATTCAACCAGTACTGCAAGGAGGCAAAGATTATTCCGCTCTATCTACTCTCCCACTCCTCACACCTAACGCAGCCACTTGATGTCAGTATTTTCAGCCCGCTGAAAAAGGCGTATGGTGCTGAGATCTCAAAGCTTGCTCAGGCCCATATCATGCATATCACCAAGGATGACTTCCTTCCAGCCTTCCGCACTACCTTCGAGCAGGTATTCACCCTCAAAAATGTACTTAGCTGTTTTCGAGGGGCTGGACTTGCCCCTCTTGACCTGCAGGCTATCCTCTCAAAGCTAGATGTACGTGTAAATGCTCAAACACCACCTGGCTCAGCACACAGTGAACCTAACCCTTGGGTCTCTCAGACACCACACAACGTGACTGAAGCAATTTCATAGTCAACACTAATTAAAAATTGCATTGTTAAGCATCAAGGAAGCTCACCAACACCAATTTTAGCAGCTGTCGACCAGCTAACAAAAGCGGTAGTAGCAAATACCCACAGTCTTATGCTTGTTAAGGATGAACTCAGGTTACTTTAAGAGGCAAATGCGACCCTTTCAAAGCGATAGCATACAAAGAGAACCCAACTACAGGATTCAGGACCTCTAACAGGCGAGGAAGCTAGCCAACTTTTGGTTCAAAAAGGTGTTGTTAAAGAGGGAGATGAGAATAAGGGTGCTGAGGAGAGTGAGCCAAAGAGGCGTAAAACAGGTGCACGCATGTGTGGAGTCTGTCGTAAACCTGGCCATAATGCAAGAACCTGCCCAGAGGCTGTAGATACTATTTCTCTATCGGATTCCAAGTTATAGAAATTTATTTAATTGTGTTTTGGTGGAGATATCGCTACTTAAAGTTGGTAGGTTGGAAAAAGTGCGACACTCGCTTGTGTGCGACACTCGCTTGTGAACCACGTTATACAGAAAGATTGATGGTTACTTTAAGGCCGCACGTAACCTTAGAAGTTGTGGGCTTGGCGAAACTTCCAACTAGTTGGCTCTAACTAGATGGAGCCAGCAACCCTAGATTCTTCTGGGCGGCGCTGTTGTCGAACCTGGGACTGCTCGACTGTAGGAGTATCTCCTCTGTACTGATGGAGGCAAGATCCTCTCACTGCACGAAACAGGAAATCTACCGAAGGGTTCCTTCTTCTGATATGTATCAGGGAAGAGTTCGCTGTTGTTCGCAGGGGAGTTCGGAGCGAGCGGACTAGTCGTGGTCGGATGAACTACAAGACTGGAGCTTTTCTAGTGGTTCACTTCAGGTTACTGTGGTATCCTGCATAAGTAGTGTACATGGCCGGTGCGCATGATCATCTAGAGGAGCAGGATGGCACGATAATAGGATTTGATTTCCCTTTGCGTACTTGCTAGCAGTTATATTATAAATCCTTTCCTAACTCTTACTATATATGCCTAGCGGACGAAGCTTTAGAGTTGTTGGAGTAATAGTTTGCCTATGCAAGGCTGTATCTAGAAAATAGCCGATAGTAGGTCCAGAGGACTAGGATTTTTTAAGAAGGAGAATAGGTTGTGCATTTTCCGGGGGACGTTTGGGTGGAAGCAGGTGGCAAAAATCTCGACAGAGGGCTACGGGAATGAGTCCGCAAGGCCCGGACTCAGATCCGAAGGGAACTGTAGTCGGCGATCGAGAGAGGCGGGGGGAGGTGGAGAGGGTATTTGAAAGAAGTGAGCAGATTCTCTTAAGTTAGATACATCCGTGCCACTGGGTCCCGCCGCTATTGGTTCGGGCTCGAGCACATCGCTCATCCAATCAGGTAACTGGCTGCAGAGTCTGCCCAGAGCCATCACAGTAACCCACCAACTCCGGTAACGCCACACGATCCCACCCTTAATCCTACTACCTATACAGTGATCCACGAAGCGTCTTACTACCTATTATCGCGGCACGATCTATCGTCCTTGCTTACCACGCGCTTCGAGCATCTAGATTGTCGTAGCACAAGTACGACTACGTCCAACAAGATGCAGCTAAAAAGCAGATTCTCCGATCAAGGTATTAACAAAGCAATCGCATGCTACCGGTGTTCGCCAGCACAGTAATTGTGCTGGCCATCTGAGAAATACGGTCTGAACTTGCTCAGGTTCGACTGCGACTTCAGCCGCGGCCCCTGCATGAAGTGTCCGGGCAATTTCAACGGTGCAAATGTTCCACTAGTATCCGTCAGCCTAGAGGGGGTTCGGTGATGCCAACTCGTCTGAAGCTAGGCTGTACTACTTGATACGCATCCCGGAGTCTCCAAGCAGTCTCATATCCTTCCAGCTATCCTTTCGCATAATTCACGCCTTGTATGACAAGGCGCGTAGCTTCGTAGCCATTCAGTGCAGCAACCGAGCTCGGTATCCTAGCAGTAGCAGCGAAGTAGGTCGCATAAGCATCAATCTCTGAGCCCTTGTTCGGTTAATTACAATTTGTAATGCCGTCCGTTAATCTAAGCAAAATGTTGGTGGTGTTACGTAGTCTTCTAGAGTGGACGCAGAGAGATCAAGCTTTGGCAAATTCTAAGAGCGCCGTTCCTGAAGTCGTCGAAAGGTAATGCGAATAATAGGATCGAAATACTAGACAGGTGAAATAAAGCAGGGAGGCTGCTTTATAGAGGGAAAATATTGACGATAGTCGAAGTTGCTATCAGTAGAAGGGTAGTAGAGGCATAGTTCTACCGTGCGCAAGAAAGTGCTGGTAGAAAACCAATGGCGAGGGTTTAGAGGTTTAAGGTAAAATAAAACCAGGACGGGAAAAGCTTCTTATACCTAACGACGATTATGTAATAAACATAGATTAGTCGGGGATCTGAGAACCTCCAGTGCCAAGATTTGTTAGCTTAGAGGCGCCTATTTTCGGACGCAAAACTCTCCAGAAATGGAGGCATCTAAGCCAACCCAACATCGTTTATGAGGAGATGCATGGTGTTTCCTTACAACAAAGCTGCCTGATTTGCAGTCAATTCTAGGCCGTGATTGGACTTCTCAGGGCTAGGAGCGGGTTGTCGAGTGTTGCAGACTGAATCGGGTTGGTCGCACAAAGGAGGGTCGGCGAGGTTCCAGCTTAACCGGAGATATCTCCAGAGGACAGAAGGGTTGTAGGAGTGCGATAGCCATCTACAAGGTCTGCCCCTGGCGAAATCTACAGCCTGGGTGGCGAAACCGTCTACGGGTCTCCCACCTGCACACGAGTCGTTCCCGCTCCCATATATGGAATAGTGTTGTTTACTCACGGGTGGTTTTGATTGGGTGCCCGGCTTACTCAGCGAACTTCGGCTCGAGTTCAACCAACTGAGACCACCAAGTCTTAGCAGATATCTGGTGTAGCCCGGAAGAGTTAGTGAGTCTCCATGAACCGCTTGTTAATGAAAGTTTAATTCTTGCTAAGACAAAATCTAGATTGTTTCTGTCGTCATGGACGGAAGGGTGATTACACCTGATGAACTGGCCCAAGCCCAGAGATTTGGAGATTTGGTTCCGGTCTACAAAGTCGATGAAAGAACGGTCGTTAAGACCGGCGACTGCGTCCGACTCGCTGAGGCCGAAGCATTGAAACTAGTTCGCGAAAAGACAACCATCCCCGTACCTGAAGTTTACAATGCATATACAGACAGCGACACCGGGCATGTGCGAATTGTAATGGAATTCATTGAGGGCGACCGCCTCGATGACGTCTGGGACAAGCTCGATAATGATCAAAAGAAGGAAGTTATTGAACAACTCCGGGACTTCATCTCCCAACTGCGCGAGATAAAAGGCTCCTTCATCGGATCCGTGGACAGTACGGCCTGCGAAGACCAACTCTTCACCGACGAGATTGGCGGGTATGGGCCGTATAAGGATGAAGAGTCTTTCAACGTAGGAATCGCCACTGCAGTTAAGAGAACATTAACTGGTAGCTGGGCCGACACGGTGACAAACATGGTAATGGCTCTGAGGAATCACGACATTGTGATGACGCATGGGGCATTTCATCCCCGGTAAATCTGGGTGCGACTGTGCAGGTGCATCGCGTCGCTAAGTGGTTACCTAACCGCCCACTTAAGCGTAGGCGCCAGTGCTTCTTGACTCTTTCCCTCATAGCCAGGAGTGCTTCGTCTTCCAAATATCTCGCGGAACCGCAATTTCTGCGAAATTGCCAGCGTGTCCCATTTTCTCTAACATCTTCCAACCACAATTCACCATAATGACATCCTCGACCTCAAAATCTCCAGTCTACTCCCCACCTCTCACCCTCCCACCGCCACAAACTCACAAGACAACCCTGATAATTCTTCACGGCCGTCGCTCCACCGCCCAGAAGTTCGCCGAACCACTTCTCACGCATCCGGTCTCCCCTGTCTCAACAGTGACCTCCTCAACCTCAAGCGAGCTCTCGGATTCTTCCAAAGCCTTCCGCGACTACTTCCCCCATACAAAATTCGTCTTTCCTACCGCCCCCCTGCGTCGAGCCGTCGTATTCAAGCGCAGCCTCACGCACCAGTGGTTCGACAACTGGTCTCTAACTCAGCCAGAGCTTAAGCAGCATTTGCAGATTCCAGGTTTGCGCGAGACAAGCGCATATTTGCACGACTTGTTACGGAAAGAGATTGAGGTCGTGGGAGCGAAGAACGTCGTCTTGATGGGGCTCAGTCAGGGCTGTGCGGCTAGCCTTATTGCGACGCTTCTGTGGGACGGCGAGGCGTTTGGGGCTGCGGTGGGTATGTGTGGGTATCTGCCGTTTCGAAAGGGAATGGCGGAGGCTGCGGAGGATGCGAGAGATGGAGCCGAGGATCCCTTTGAAGGTTCGGGGGATGACGAGCGGGAGGACATGCTCGAGCGGGATGGAGAAGATGCTGAGGGAGGCGAAACTAATTTCGAGAGAGCTGTTGAATGGCTGCGCGAGGAGTTGCAGGCAAGTAGTGAAGGGGGCGACGATGCTAATAAGCCGCTTTCGATGCAATCGATACCGGTTTTCATGGGCCATGGAACAGAAGATGAGAAGGTGCCATGTGAAACTGGCAGGTTGGCCGCAGAGTTCTTGAGTGGCATAGGCGTCAATGTACAATGGAATGAGTATGAAGAGCTGGGTCACTGGTATTCCGAAAATATGCTGCGAGACGTGGTCACATTTCTAAGTGGTTTGAAAGGATGGGAGGATATTGTTAGAGTTGGAAAATAAAGCATGAGCTAGTGACGGTAATTGTTCCGCCACGTGCTAGTGAGGCCCAAATATGCAATGATCCGAAGGGACATCCAGCTGCTTTGTAGCAGATATGCTTGATACTTCGTTTAACCTATACAGCATCTATAACTCGCGTTACCCGTCAGAAACCAGGTGCGCATAAAGGCGGCCCCAGCACATTGTGGACATCATTCTGCGCCAAGTATGATGGCGGCGAGGGCAACTGCCGAATGGCGAACGCAGATTAGAACAGAGAGGTCGTTGATTTAAAGACCATTTGAACAAGAAGGTCGAGGTCGCCGCAAGCAAAATAACTACCACGGAAATTCACAAAGCCGACCACACACCGTGCCGTCATGGAAATCAAGTACGACTGGACAGGCGCCCTCGTTCCTGGCCCCTCGAAGAACTGGGGACTGGATGTCAATCCTTCTTGGCTGAAAGCCATCGTTCCCCAGGATCCAGGGTTCCTACTCCTCACAGGAGACATGTACTATATGGCGCTGCCCAGTACAGATGAGCGCTTATTGCTTAGTGAAGAGTACCAATACAAACTCTCGGGCGTCCGGCTTCAGTACGGCAAAGATAACATGCCACACGTCAATGTGCGAGATCTCGGTGGTGTAGGCGCCAGCGAGGACGACCTGGTGCTGCTGGACGATGGGAAGCTGGGTCTCCGCGAAGCAAACTCATCGCGTCGTCTCACCGACGAAAGGGTGAAGCGAAACGTCGAGGTACTCCAATGCCGTGATCGCTTCTGCACGGAGGAGTTGGCGAAGCTGCAAGGCGAGAAAGTTGCTCTTAGGGTACCTAGGGTATCGTCCGACACCCCGTTCCCACGCTTCCAGTACAAAATGATGTGGCCATGTTGACGACGGCGGCACCAATTCCCGTTGTCACTGGTGCTAGGAATGTCCATCTGCGAGAAACGCCCAGAACCATAGTGACGAGGGTGGGACGGGCGGCCTGAGTGCTTTCGGCGACTATGATCGCTTGCAGTGCTCGGTTCTCCGTGCTCGCATCGCCACTGTCAAGTGTCTCGTAACAGTGGGAAGCTTGGAATAAGTTGTATGGCAGGCAATTTCATCCAATTCTGGAACTGAAGAAAGAGGAAAACGCCACCTGCCTAAGACGAGGTTTGCTAGGGGAGGCGGAGGAGCACGAACCTTCTATATGAAGGATAGTTTGCAAGAGTGGGATAGCCTCAACAGTACTACAACTTGGCCCTTTAAGGTGGACACTAAATCGTCTGCCTATCCTGGTCAGGGCGAGTGCGGGGATCTCTGGACAGAGCATGTTACCCTATGGGAGCAACAAGTGATTTTCAGATGGACCACGGACAGAAAAGCGCGAGATGGATGAGGATCGCGACTTGAGAATGCAAAGCACTGACGGCATTCAGTTGCCTGCTGCATTGTGGTGGACACGCCGTCGTTCTGGAAGTTCATATAGTCAATTCAATCACGTTGCCGCCAGTGATCATCCCAGGTTGCCCCTGCATTCGTCTCAGAGTTATGATTTGACGGTTCAGTGCCCTTGACTAAGGATCTTAAGCAGAAACGAAATGACATGATCGACTTGCTCTGGCTCCTTCACCTAGTGACCCTCTCTTTGAGCGCCGACGTACTCGTGGACTTCGAGCGTGGATCCTATTTGTTGGAAAGTCACGGAAAGATCGTGGCAATTCGATATGTTTATCAGGACATCCTGCGAGTACAGCTGTTAGTTGATCTTCGTTTATGAAAATGATGGATCAGGAATGAAGTACGTCAATGCCATGACCGAGGTAAACTGGCAGATCTGTCACGCTCTCTTCGATGTCGGTCACTGGTGTGAATGGCTCGATCTTCAGAATGTGGGTACATGTACTAATCAGACTTCTCATACGAGCTTGGTGAACCTCTGGAGGATCGGTCGTAACAGCCTCTTTTGCGTCTTTGATGTAAGGCATCCATGCGCTCAGTCCGAAGAACGCTCCCAGTCTTCCACTCGTCATAGCTGCGCCAGTGAATAGGGACCACAAAGCGACAGCCGACCCTTGGGAAAACCCTCCAAGGATGATTCTATCCGCCCTACCTGCCAGCCTTTCAACTTCTTCTCCCACTAGATCCCTCACTAAGTGGACTGCGGCCGTCAAACCAGGTACTGAGAGGTCCTGCCTCAAGTCCAAGTCATCAAGTGAATAAGTGTCAAACCAGGCCGACCGCTCCTCTTCGAATCGCGTGCACCATCTCTATCCGGCATCTGGAAAAACCCAGCGAAGAATGACCGTGTGGGTATGCGGATGGCCCTGTTTGGGCTCAACAACGTATGGTGGTGGGTATGACATATCGGCTTGGTGCGAATTTGGGGTTTGCATTGGATGGGCCGCTGCTCTTGCGTTTGTGATATATTAGGTAGACAGACGCTAGGCAGCCATTGCGGAATATACCTCTGTATACTCCGTAAGCACTGAAAACCGAGGAATGCGATATAAGATCTACGAAAACTAACCTATTACAGCATAGTATTATCGTGCTCCACTGGGATAGCAACTACCTACAGAACCCTGATTACTCTTCATTGAAGACATTGCGTGCCACAGTACACACCGGAGCCTATCCTAAGCGCTAATCCTGCTCGTCGCTTATTGGCACTGTTCTATTGCACGTTTCTGCCTGCAATGTTGCTCTCTATGTTATATCTAACTCTAGCTCCCCGTATGCGAGGTTATTATCTATCCTGTTATCATTAATAACCTAATCTAGCTATAAGTAAAGTTACTCTTAAGACTACTATATTGCAGAACTACCTGCTTGAACTTATATCTGTATTATATACGCTGTAGTAACCGTTTTTATTAATACTAGCGATATATATTTGTTGTAGAGCTCTTGCGCTAGAAACATTGTCGTAGTCCTTGCTGTTCTTATTGTCAGACTTGATGGTATCTGAAGATGTCACGGTGACAGAAAGATTGATTGAAGATGGGTTGACTGATTGTATTCAGGTGTGTGCTTGTCTGTGTGAGGCTGGGGCCTGACACCGGTTTTGATGTTCCTTCTCTGGGCACCAAGGCTGTGCAGGGCACTAGCCACTGCAGAATCACTAGCCACATGTCCTCAGACAGTACCGGTACAGATAGTTTCTCCCAGTCCTCCTCTCCAGTCCCAGATGGGATATCCATAAACTGGCTTACCATCTGACAGCTCCTCACCAGCATCGATTATCAAGATGGTGAGGCAGTTTAAAAAGGGGGCAGAATTGATGGCGTATTCATAGACGTTAATGGCTGCCAGGATCACGAAACTTGAGCTAGCCTGCCAGGCAGCTTCTGAATGTAAAAAGCATAAGAAGAAGCGGATTCAAAAGGGAGGGACCCTATCGCAGGCAGAAGCAGAGGCAATAGTAGCTCAGAAGAATGTTGAAGCTCAGCTTGAGGCAGAGATGTGTGAGGAGAGGGTAGAAGTGGGTGCTGGTGTACGGGGTATTCGACGCTGCAAGACGTGTGGTAAGCCAGGGCACAACAAGTGTACATGCAAAAAAGATTCAGTAGATGTAGAGGATTAATATGAGCTATTGTACACTGCAATAGCTTGTTGTAACGTTGAGATATTTACGTTTAGAGGTGGAGGATTGTATTTAGTGATCAGCTCGCTTGTCACTCACGTTATCTAAAATTCAAACAATAATTATGCACAAGCAACCGATGTTATGGTAAAAGCTAGTATCACCTTCCTTTGAGCGGGTAGTTATTTCTTGGGAACTACCGTTTACACATCTGCATTGAACGAAGAGATTATCTTCCCGCAGGGTTCGATTGTCCGAGTCTGCAGCTCCTATGAAAATCGGTTCGACGGCGCTCAAATCCTCTGCAAGTACAAAGATACTTGATCCAATCTGAATCTGCTTGACAAATCATTGGTTCTGCACTTTCTCGGGGCCGACTAGCAAACTAGAAACTGGCACAATCCAGGATTCATGCGATAAGTTCCCGTTCGTTTCTTCAGCCCGCTCTATCACCTGTTACAGTACAGACCTGACGGCCGCTCATTACTCATCTGGAACCCAGACTCCATCCGAGGTCTTCTTCCACTTTGGCAGTTTGTCATCCTGCCGGAGTTTCACCAGCGAAGTCGGGAGCTTCACGACCCAAGGTTCCCCCTGGGGTACCCCACCTCCTGGTCGCTGCGACCTCTCGGCAATCTCGTCGGCGATGGGCACGAAGAGTGGGCAAGAGATTGTTGGAAGTGAACCTCCGTTCCACAATATTCCGAACTTAAGGAAGCTAAACGGGAGAGTGAGCCACGGTCAACCAGCTACGAGGGCAGCACTGAACGGCGGGAGTAGAGACTTACTGGTCAATAGCTCCTTCGAATCCTGGTCGGGCTGGAATCACGACACGGCAAAAGCCTGACTTGAGAAACTCGTCGAAAACGGGGTCCGGGTCGTCGAAAGCAAGTCGCATGGTCCATTTGGTCTTGCGACCCCAGAAGTAGGGGTAAGTGACGTACACTTGATTGATTAGCTGAGCTCCAATTTGCATTCGAAATCAAAACGGCTACTAACTGATTTGATCCCATTCAAAGGCGTGTTCGAAAAACCGGACATAGGACCCTTCTGCTTCTGCCTCGTCCAGATTAATCTGGGCCAGGCCAAGAGACGATGTGCTGATGGAGTTGAACAGGTCATAGTGCTGTGCTGTTAAGATTGAGATGCAATTCTTCTTGAGCTCCTGTTTGATCGCAACGAGATTAGCCGCAGGATTTCTGCAGGTGACTGTTAGCAGCCCGATCCATCCATCTACTCTTCATTTGAAAGTACTCACTTTCCCTCTATCGCGATTCCAGTCTGGAGTTTAAGAGTTGACAGCTTCTCCTCGTATTCTTGCATCCTCGCGTTGTATGCATTCAAGAGTTTAGCGTGCGTGTCAGCTCTCCAAACATCCACTGCACGTGGAGTGACCTTGCAGAGGACTTCTACGCTGAGCACAGCGTCTGTAAAGCGGTAGGTCTCAAATCCCCACGCGATACTCCCTTTCTGGTTAGAAAGAGGAGTATTCCACACCCACTGACCGTCATCGACGAATCGATGTGTTGCGGTACCCAGAAATACATCAGCATTGCAATCGTCCGCCCACTGATTCCAGAGACATGTTACTGTGCCATACACTGCCTCATACCCACTCTCAAGTGACATGGTGGCGGAATGCCAATAGTTCGTCTTAGAGTCCCCACCGCCCTTGCTGACTTGGTCGGATTTCGTGATATAGTCTTCGGGGGGTGGGACGACATCTGTTGCTTGGTACTTTAGAACCCAGTATTGATAACTTCCGGAGTCAATCTGGGAGGGAGTGAGGGTAAAGGGAGGCGGTTTCTCAAGTGTAAGCGCTTTATTAGCGGTATCCGACATCATATCGATCAGAAACGCAGCAGGCTCAGGCACCATGAAGTCACTGCATGGAGCACGTCAGCCATGAGGTTACCAGTTATGCTTTGCAGAGGACGTACAACATAGTCCGCAAACCGTAATTGAAGACTTGAGCTTCGTATCTGTGCGTCGATTAGCCTATTTCGGCGGCTATCGTACCAAACGAACTTACACTTTGTTCACCCACTGATACACACCGGATACATTGGTTGTTCCCGACGTATTGTTGATGCCATGATTGTTTTTCTCTACAATCTCACTCTGCCTAAGGGTCAGCCATGCACTCAAAATCGCCGAGGTCTGACCCACCGTAGTTGTAAGAGTCTGTCTCGAAAGTGTTCGCTCCGTGATCTTTTTCGCGCTTCGTTCTGTGACATCTTGGGAGAACTAAGTATAAGGAAATATTAGTTGAACGATGGAGACTCCAGAGGCGCGCGAATGACGAACCTTGCTAGCCGATTTGTTTACCTCCTCTTTAGAACGTGACGTGGCACCTTCGACACTGGCGGAGACTTCAACAAAGGGTCCATATTTTGCCGACACTTGAATCCCGGCCTTCAAAGACTGGTCTTCCTTGATTGTGTTTGCAGACTCTTTACTCATCTCGAAGCGAGAGGTCGATGATAGTTCGTGATCGTCGGTGGTGGATATTTCAGTCTCAACAAATGTCGAGGACTCGGTCCGCGAAGTTGACGTATGTTGACGATCTTTCGACTCTCCTTTCAGAACGTTTTCGATATGAGCTATATCAGCGCCATCGTAGCCAACGAGTTGCTGTTTGACAACCAATAGGTCCCCCATCCCAGCTATGGTTGCTTTGCCCTTCGTGTGAGGAATGCGGCCGTCCGGAGGGAGAACTGGCAGCGCAGAGAGAATATTGCCAAAATTTTTCCCGGTGAGCAAACTTCCCAATCTTGATCTGACGGGCGTTTTTGTGGTAACAAGTGCGTTTCCTACACGAGTGACGGTCACTTCTTCAAAATCCGGTGCCAGGAGCTTCAAAGAGGATATCTTGTCTCTCATATCATCTCGCAAACCCTTCACGATTTCTAGATCAATTTGACCAAAACTTAGCAGCTTCAACAATATCATAGTAGATGAACATGCTCACCCGGTAATGGAATTGCACCAACATCAATTCCTTTCGCTTTCAGCAGGGATTTTGTGCCTTCGGTCAAGGGCGTATTCGTTTTCAGTTTAAGGGCAAGTGCACTGGCAGCCTTTGGGTCGAATCTCCTTTTTGATGTCAATCCTGTTGGCGTACTGAGAAGCTCACGTGTAAGGCCCAAGGCCGATACAGCGCCTCCGATATCTTGGAGTTGCAATGGATCTAGCTGCGTAGCAGCGGCAGCAGCAGCAGCACTTATTTTAGGCCCGTTGCCGCCATCGCCGCCACCACTACCACTGCGACCCGCAGCTGCCTTAAATTGATCGACATTCAGGTCCCTGAGGGAGCTTTGTAGTTCCAGCTGTCGAGCCAGGACGTGAATGGAGGTATACTGATCCTGGACCTGAACGCCTTTATGCGACTTCTGTTCGAGGGCCTGAAAGTTTTTAGGGTCGATTGCTATAAGCTCGTTTATAGCCTTGGAAAGGTTCTCATGATCCTCAAGCAGACTCTTAGCTAGCTTCTCACGCTCTTCGGCATCTTTTCGCGGATCGGAGTCGTCGCCACCCGCGATGACTGACTTCATATCTGTTCCAAAGGGAAGTAGTAGAGACCGTCGGCGATACTGCAGCAAACTAGTATCTGGGGTGGACGGAGTGCCCGGGCCATCTTTGATCACTCGGACCCATAATGCTGGGGTCATCGGTGGTTCCCAGCCCACGAGTGACGTATGAGCTTGAATGCAAACGTAGGTAACATTGTCGTAGATGACCTGATCGCCAATCTTATATACGGTCTGCGGTTGCCATTGCGCAGGATGCCCGTCCGAGGCCGTCCGAGATCTCACTTCGCCAGATACGGCACTGGAGCCTTCTGCTTCAACAACTGTGTTTTCGCTGGACAAACTTGCAGCTTTTGCAATCAGCTCAAGATCACGAATCTGATTGGCGAGCGCTTCGATAGGACGCGAATGCTCTTCCTATAAATCGTTACTTCTCCACTCTTCCTTTGAATAGCTCGCTGCATGTGCTCCGTGCCAAACTATGGACAGAATCATACCTGCACAAATTTGATTGCAGTTACAGAGTCTCGCAAGTTTGCAAGCAGGGTCTTGTATTCGTTGCTTTTAATGACATCTCCAGGCTCTTTGCCGAACGCTTTCTTGATTGCTGCGACGACACTCCGCAAGGAAAGAGTGCCACCAAAGCTCGCCTCGTCAAGAAGGCTACCGAGCTGGGCCAATTTGCGCTGGAAATCGGTGAGGCCTGGTTGTCCGACAAAAGCATCGCTTGCGACAAAGGCCCTTGCAGCAGCCTCACTCTGGCCTCGCGGATCGTTAGACTTCAGGGCCGCTGAGAGCGTCTTCTGAAAGTCCGAGGCCTGGGATAGACTGATGCTCGGGGCGTCGGGATTCTGCGCAACCGGAGCTGTCGGGGTTGGGTTGTGAGCTTCTCATCTGAACATGCAACGGAATAAGGTTTCAACACTCACGTCGCAACACCAGGAAACGAAACAGAGGTTCAGTCATGGTGACCAACTGTCCGACCAGCGAGATAAAGCGGACAAGAATAAGGCTGTCACTATCGATAAACGCAACAACTTTCGCGTTGGTTCATGGTTCTCAGGGCCGCTTATATGTCGTATGACAAAGGAGGGATGACGTCCTTTGAAAAGTAGCATGAACTTAGATGATCATTCGATCATCCTTCCGACCTGAGAGGAGGTGCAGTGGTCTCAACCTACTGTGAGCCGTGTCTAATCATCAGACCACCGGTCGATGTAGGCGGCCACACGGGGCAGCTTTGCATCAACCCAATTGCAGGAGCTGAATCAGAAGGTTCCAAGCGCTAAGTCGGAAAGTTCCACGAGCTGATTAGAGAATCTGGAAGTTCAAAGAGCTGAACCCACACTCTGCTCAGCTTCCATTGACAACACTCGATACGGGTATCCTCCTGGCAATAGGCGAGGGACAGCGCTTTCCGAACCCCGCGCTAACTGGCGTGATAGTGACGAACCGCCATGATGCAAGAGCAGAAAGTTAGGCCATTCAAGTCCCAGTAGTAGCGACATAGTTGCGGGGTATTGTTCTGCTGGCCTATAATAGCACCTTACAGTCGCTAGTACATAGGTACTTACGGCCGGATTGCGCCTATCTCGTTTATCCCTACTCCGTGGCTTGTTCCATTCCTGACACATGCTCGTATCCGGAGAGCCCGTTGCATTCCCCGCATTGGGCACGAAAGAAGAGGTGTCCCTTTGAGTGAGGATTGTGACACGCAAACGGGTTCAGAAAGCCGTCACAAACTAAAGAATTCGGGCTTGTACCTGCCCGTGGATCTCTAGGGTACACGACCTCAAATATAACGTTAGCCGCCTGCACTGCGCAGAGAGCGACCTTGGTTACAGTCCTCTATATCTTCAAGCATTACGGTAAGTCGCTATTCTACGCCGATTCGACGTGTCCGACGTCGACCTCAAAATTGACATCTGCTGTTACCCTAAACACAGGACCGGGAGTGGTCCCCAGTGCAACGCGAATAGCAGAGCCAGGCTTAGAGAGACAGTGGTGTTGCAGCTTCAAACCAAAGGGGTTTCCAGCCCGAAAGTCTCCCGCAGTCATGGAAACCGTGACGAAAGATGACCTTGCTCGTCTGGTCAACGCGTCAAAGAACGCATTGATCGAGGCCCTCACTTCCGCCACGGCCAGTCCCACTACCATCGGGATTTATCGTATGAAGTCTGAGATTATGGTCGAGCAATGGACAAAGTACCCACAACAGATCATGAACCAATTCGGAGGTACCGGTCCAATAGGGTGGAAAATGCAACGACTGCTTGATTGGGATCAAGCCGCTTCAGACCTCGCCACGGAAATTGTTGCTTACGAGCAGTCTTCCACGCAGCGTTTCTCTAGATACCTTGACAAAGGCATCAAGTACGCCAATTACGTTTCCAAAGTGGCCAGTCAATTCGACGATTTCTTTTACGCGTACAAGGACGTTTATACGGGAATCACCACCATCTACGAGGCGAATCTAGAGACGCCGAAGTACACGAAAGTCTTGAAGGACGCATTCATGGAGTGGTACGACCAACACGTAATGAACGACCGATTTCTGCGCAAAAGTGCCCGCGAGGGAATGGTGGAGTTTCTGCGAGAACGTCCAGATATGATACTGTTGCTAAACTTCATCCATGCGCTGCCGAAGCTGAAGAGCGAAATTCAAGAAGATATTGCGCGGCCTCTAGCCGTTGAGGCCATGGAGCTCTCTCTGTCCCTAGTTCCCCTGCTAGGGAATGCCATCGCTTTGTATGAGATCTGGTCGGGTAGAGACCTGTTCGGTTATCACTTGTCTGACCTGGAAAGGGGGATCATGGCTGCATCGGTGCTGCTGCCTATGGCAGGTCGCCTCGTGAAGGGTGGACGCGCTCTCTATACAGAAGCTCGTCTGGTGAAGCTGTATGGCCGAGATGCAGCTGGCTGGAACCGCGCCATTCGATCGTCCGCCCGGGCTGCAGAGCAGCGTTCGTCGTTGCGCGCAATCAAGTCCGCTGAGGATTCGCTGCGCGTCAGCGGCAAATTGGAAGGGGCTGTCGCTAAAGAAGCAGCAATAGCAGTTCCCAAGTTGTTGCATTCACCGGGTAACCTCGCTGCATCCGTGAGCAATGAAGTCAAAATCCTTTGGGAAGCTATGTCAAAGAAATATGCTGCGTTAAAGGGACTTGACGAGATTGCCTTACGGAGGGTTCTGGAGAAGGGCCCAAATGTAGACCACCTCAAGGGTCAACTCTTGGAAGAGCTTGCTGAAGCACACGTCATCCCAATGCTTCGCAATCGCCAAGGTGGCTTTGCGCTTGGAGTAAAAGTTCCAGCCGGAAAAACGTTGGAGTACGTTCCAGGACACGCAATTCGCACCGCGTCGGGAAGAGCTGGACGCCAAGTCACCGACGGGATGGTAGGATATTGGGACAAAGAAGTGTTCAATATTGTAGCAATATTCGAAGCCAAGAGCGGTAGAAAAGGAGCACGAGAGCTAAGCCTTAAAACCACGGATATTGCAAAGTTAGGCAAAACGGAAAGGGACGAGTTGAGAGCGTTTGCGAAAGAAGTTTGGGCTGAAGAGAAAGAGATCGCTGAGGAGGCTGGAAAGAGTTATACCAGAACAGTTGAGGAGGTTGAGAAAGAGGTACGGACTCCACCCTTCGAAAGCAATCTCGAACTAACCTTGTTTTTGAGGTAATCCTGGATGAAGCAGGGGGGCAAATCCGGCGAGATATTGAACGGCTTGATGAATTGGGAGACGGCACGTTAGCTCAAATTCGGATTGGATCCAATGTGCATCCAGTTAAACTAAGTGCAACGAAGACAAAATTCTTTGGAATAGTTCCGAAAGGCGTTCGCATCAGCCTCCTCGAAAAGGAGGTCAGGGCAGAGGGGTTTCTATTTGAAGCCATTGCTGTTCCGGTGCACACCAAAGAACTTCAGAAAATCGCCGAGGAGATGGTTCAGCTAGCGGAAAGGCTGGTGCAAAAAGCGCCATAAGGGGGATAAGGGGGACAAGGGAGACAAATGCTGCAGATGATATTCCTTCGACTGAGAACGATGTAGGTATATCTCTGTTGGAGAGTTGCTGAGTCAGTGTGGTCAAGGTGTAAGCCGCCAAGCTGATTGAATGTATTACATAATACGGAAGTAATCAATCACTATTTATCGCAACGCGTGGTAACCCTCTCTACTACTGTATCGACACTGTTTTCAGAATCTGTCTAGTTCCATCCGAGATTTCCTAAGATCGACCTACACAACTGCAGGGGTTGCTCTTGAGTAAGTCAAAGGCAGCTTCAGGGCCTGTCGCTTACCTCCATCGATGACACCTGCTCTTGATTGTTGAGTGCGATTGCTCTCCCGGATTCCGTGAAATCCTGCAATCGATGCGTCTTCCACCCACAAAATGCCCAATAACACTTGGTTCACACAATACAAATTCCCAGCATCTGCATGTCTTAGCTTCGGACCGTCGCAAGGCATAGTGTATCAACTCTCCGACAAGACCGTGGTTAAGGTACCCTTTCAATATCCCATCAGTAGGGGAGTGCCCTTGGACGAAGCAAACGAGCAGATCTATATGTCCCTCCGAAGTTTCGCCATCTTTAAGAAGGAGAGCGCATTTTATGATGTCCTCGCCAAAAACCCACATCCAAACCTTGCACAGAGATTGCCATGCAATCGACGCTCCGTTATTGTTCTCGAACGCTTCCGACCACTGGAACAAGCCTGGAGCTTGCATACGAAAGAAATGCGCGTTACTTGGATCCAGCAGCTACTCAGTGCACTGGACTGGCTTGAGACTCTCGGTTATACGCATGGGGATCTGAAAGTCCACAATATGGGTATTGACGGGAATAACCAGCTCCGGCTGTTCGACTTCGGCTCAATCAGGCATCGTGATGATGAAGGATATCACGAGCAAGTTCTTGAAGATCATTTCACCCTGGCAACATGCATCCATTTTTTGGCATCTGGTGTCGACCCTATCGCCAAGGCCACTAGCCTCGCAGAAGTACGACAAACGTTTAGCATCCTCAAAGGAGGTCAGGGCGCTGTTGACGAAGCGGCAAGGGAGTTTGAGGAAGTGATTCAGGCGGGTTGGACGGGGGTCGCACCGGCAACCTCTAGTTTCTCACAGTTACGAAAGACGATTGTAGGCATCATCAGGCAGATTAATGCAAACTCAGTGGATCACACAGGGGATCCTTTCCGCAGCTCACAGTGGGCTCCGGATGATTTTGCGGCAGAGGAAGATAGTAGATGGATGGATGAAGAGGATTATCGTGCCGCTTGTAAGGCGGAGGGATATGAGACACCTGATAATATCTGGAACTAATACACTCCAGTTCGCCTCCCGTTATTTGCAAGTCCCTTGTTTCTCCATAAAGACCGTATTCAAACACAGCATCTCATGAGGTGTGTATGCATGCCATGCAATCACCATTCCATTATTGTCTCTCTTGAGCTCATGTAACGTTGTCCTCGTGCGTCCGCTACAGAATCCAACTAGGTTCGTCCTGCGGCCTTACAGTCGTCACAGAAGTCGTTAACGACATTTTCGGTAATAGAGTGGTTGTATGGAGGATTGGCGCAATTAGGACCATTTGGTTTAAGCGCACATTCGTAGACTTTCTCTATTCCTTCCACCTTGTGGTTGCTTTTACGATATTTCGTGCCTGGAGCGGCTTTAAAACACATTTGCGTTCTGTATGTTTTGGAGATTAGCCAAGTCATACAAGAACGAAGGTGTATGTTTACTGTACTTCTTGTTAATAGAAGCTGTTTTTACCAAAACTTGGTAAGAGCGAAATTGTCCAGATTCGTACACCAGTGTGTTATGGGAGTGCTGGTGAATGTTGAGCCGAAATCAGGTTCTCATTTGATATTAATGGAGTATGTCGTGGGAGTCTTGAGCCATAAGAGTATTGGCTCACACTGATAACAGAACGTCGTGCGGTCTCCGTTCCAGCTGGGGATCACTAATATATCGGTTCCATATCATGAGTCAACCGCGCCACCAGCGCACGTCAGAAGGCTCTCTAGGCAGCCATTTCTTCTCCCAGAAGATGATGCCGGCAAACACGACTATATGTGGAGTGGAGGACCGAAAGCATGGGTTTCGAGTGGCACCCAAATGTGGGTTGCTTTTAGGATGCCACCCCGACATTTAGGTTGAGAGCACCACTTGGCAATCTGCCAGATGAAGAGGCACAGTCACTGGTGTATTGAGGGCAGTACGGTTCTCGTTCTGGATGCCAGGCAGCCACTGACCGGAGCTCTGCAGGTTGGGTATGAGAAGGTGGTGCCGGATTGCAACGATCATTGGGCGGTGATAGATTACGAGCCTGAAGCGACATGCATGCAAGAACGTCCGTCACGGCGTTACCCCAACTTCGAGTGAACATAATCCTGGTAATCTCTCCCTCAGAATTTCTTCAATTTTCTTGGCCGCATCAAGAGCCCGGATCTTGCCTTCGTAATAGTTGCGTAGCGAACCACAGCTGAGTTCCAGATCCCGCCTACGTTAGAAATGGCTGGGTGTCGGTTGGTACGTGGTGCCCAGGGTTCATTCGTCGGCATACAGTCAATGGCGATTTAGACTGGCTCCCTGGCCGGTCGCAAGTCTTTCGTTGCTACGTGGAAGATACAAGCGGCTCATACTAGGGCATTCTTCTCTCGAATATGATATTCTTGCTTAAATGGTGCCAAATCTGCGCCCAAAATGCTCGTAAGCGCCCTAAGGGATCCGCAATGGCGATGGCCAGTTCTCAACTGGTGGAGCACAGCCCTCTTAGTTTCGACGACCTTTTTAATGACATTTCTCAATGGATGGGCTAATTAGTGAATAATACCTTGTTTTTAGTTCAAAGCTGAAGAGGATGACTGAATGGGAATAATGACTTGAGGGAGGGAAATATTGCGACAGTGGTATGGGAAAGAGTTATTTTATTACACTAAATCATGTCATCGCTTTGATAATGTACAAGAATAGGCCGACTCTTAGTCATTCTTTCTTCTCTTCCAGCCTCCTCGAACTTTCCACCTTTTCTTCCAGCCATTTAGCTAGGTAACATTGCTCTAGTGGCTCTTGAGCAAGCCTGCTAATCTCCAACTTTTCGACTCGAAGGGAACGAAGCCCCCGAATGCCGGGATCAGCTTTGAATACATCGGGATCCATTTCTTCTACTTGCTTGCTCTCGAGTTGGAGGCCTAAGCATCTGAGCCTGTTGCACTGCTTGAGAAGCTGGACACACTTCCTGACATGAAGGGTGGGCAGCTGTAGCACATGGTCAGATTCTGGGCTCTCGTCCCATCTCCACTCAGAATCCGATCTGCTTTTCCATGGAAAGTTCAGGCGTTCGATGTTGGCGCGGCCAATCTCACCGACTGCAATGAGCAGCTTAAGTAAGGTGTCCGTTCCAATCGGGGAGCGCCAGAGTATAGATATTCTCGCGGATCTCTCTGGGCAGATCGAAAACCATGGGGATGGGATGGCCACTCCTACCGGGTTGTAGCCGTACATCGGGTTAACCTCGACCGCTGCATCGTTTTATGGTTATCTACCTACCTTTGAAACTGATATTAACTTAAAAACTTCTTAATCTGTGATGAGAAGCGGTAAGTGCAATTAGAACTCATAATAGATATCCACGGGAAATCTGCAGAACCCGCATCGACTCCATTGCGAGAGTACAATTGTGCCCCGGGCATGAGCGATCGTCTATGTGGATCCGATTTCCGGACTTTGGGAAATAAGCTTTTTTTATTACTTATAGGATTTAATTTATTAAAATAAAATAAGAAAAGGTGCGATAGTGTAATGGTATCACAACACGTTGTGGCCGTGTTAATCTGAGTTCGATTCTCAGTCGCGCCAATCTTTTTCCAATTCTTTTGAGCTCGACCCTCTCTCATTTTATAGCCCCATTTGAGATAGGAAAACTTTCGGAGACTCTCCGCTAGGTAGGGAATTTGAGCGTCTCCGAAGGAATCCTTGCCTGAGATGACTATAGAAGCCTTGCATTCACCGAAAGGTTTACCCGACCGGTGATCACCGGCTTCTTCTTTGCGAACAAGGAAAGCTGCAGCATGGGATGAATCGTTGGATGACAGGAAAACGCTCTCTTTTTGATTATTGATGGCTCATCGCAAGATGAGAGCCATGGTACGCCTCTCAGGAGATTGGTCTCCTTCATGATCTAACAAATGGCTGATCTACATGCAATATACAGAGCGGAGACATGACTTCATATCAACATCCACAAGCCGCGCCATTATACGCCAACTGCCTTCTGCACCTCATTAGCCCTTCCTCTGCTCCGCCCTCCACCGATCAAAAGCCTCTTCGGCCGTCTGCCCTGTCTCCCCACACCTCTCCCCAATGACACTCCACGTTCTCTGCCTGATAATCTTCTCCACCGCCCGCTCGTTCCGCATCAGTGTGGCCAGACTCTCAGTCCTGCCCTCCCTCGGAAAGTACCTCCCCGAATAGGGATCCAACCGCTCATCCACCACGCGCTCCCTCGCCTTGTCATCTTCCACCTGCCGAAGGATTTGATCCGGGTCGTCGGGGTCGGGCGACGTGGCGACGCCGGCGCAGTAGTCGAGGACGTTCGAGCGGAAGGCCCAGCTGGGGAACAGCACTTCGTGTTTAAACCTGTCGCATGATTCCGGAGGGATGGAGCGGTTTGGAGGGGAAAGTTGGCGGGTTGAGGTGGAGGAGGGGTTCCAGGGGACGGAGGCGGGAGTTAGCAGGGCGTTAAGGTTTTGCGTTATCGAGTCGTCGATTGTGCTGCGGGAGAGGCGGAGGAAGTCTGAGGGCGAAGGCTGGGGGTTAGATAGTGGTACACGAGAGATGGGAGATGGGAGGAGATGGGGGAGGTGTGTACCTCGTAGGACGGTTTGGTTGAAGCAAAACTGGGGTGTTAGCCCTGGCGATTGAGACGGTTGAGACATTTGCGGCGGTGGATGGGAGGAGGGTGGAGGCGTGGGAGAGGATTGAGAGCTCGGGGGAGCTCCGGACCAGAAATATCGCGCCACCTCGACTAAGTTGTGAGCGCGGTGGTATGCGGGCGATTGAAGGGTGTCGCAGCAATATGTAGCGACGTCTCAATACAGTGAAAGTCAACTGCGAGAAGAGAGGGATTCTACGCAGTAAAAGAGTTCACGGGTGGCTACAAAATAGAGCTGGAGAGCATTCATCCTCCGAACCCCTGCTAGCGGCTCGCCAGGTCCATGATGTCAGCAGGTCTCGCGACGAAGGCGCGCCTCGACGCGTGAGACTGCCTGAATTCCACAATTCAACCTTGGCGATAACTCCGAAAGCAAGAGCATGCATGCTCGCTTCCCGAGTGCTGCTGCTGCCTGCTACTCTCGAGTGATTGATACGTCTCCAAGGCAGTATTTAGCCCTTCCAATTCTCTCTCACGCCTTGCACCGCTTCGCTTCCCATACTCCTCTCGCGGCTGCGCTTCGAGACGCTCAAATATTCCCATTAGCTTCACCGACGCTGCAGAGAGGTCACTACTCCAACGTTGCAAATATGCCGCCGAAGCAAGCCACACTCGGGTACGTGAGATCTTCTCAGACGACACTGGGGTGCGAGCCTGCATCCTGTTCATATCAACATCAGTACTGACATTGCTGCGCCGGTTAGCAAGTTCTTTGGCAAGCCCAATGGTGCCGCAGCGAAGCCTCAGCAATCGAAGCTTTCATTCTCGACGAAGTCGAAGCAGCCCAAGAGTGAGGAACTGGACGGAAATGATGGGGAGGAGCTTACGTCTTCGGCGACGGTTCCGGAACCTCTGAAGGTCGAAGAGAAGGGTAAGGAAGGTGACGCAGCAGCTACTCTTGTAAAGGACGATTCGGATGCTATGGATGTGGATAGTGAGCTGCCGTCTTCATCTGAGGCAGGAAGGAAGAGACCTGTGAAGGAGGAAGAGGAGGAGGATTCGGAAGATGAGCCACCGATGAAAAGGCAGAGGAGGAGACCTGCGAAGAAGGAGACCATGACGCAGAAGAAGAGTCCTCCGAAGGTTAAGAAGGTGGAGAAGGACGGCCCGAAGGCGAAGAAGGTCACTGCCAGGACGAAGTCGGATGAGGATAAGGAAGGGGAAGACGAGGAGTCCGCAGTAACGAAGATAGCGAGAGGGAAGGAGAAAGAGGTTGCGAAGTCGCCCACTCCCGGTTCCAGCCCTGGGGAGGAGGAAGAATTCCTCGTCTCGGACGAGGAGGACGAGCCTCCAGAAGTCCAGAAGAAGGTTCTCGAGAAGGTACAGTCGACGTTGACGTCCAAGACGAAGGATCCGTATCCGGACTGGAAAGCAGGCGAGCCTGTGCCGTACGCAGCCCTCTGCACGACGTTTTCGAAAATCGAGATGACGACGAAGCGGCTGGAGATTCTTGCACACTGTTCGCTCTTTCTGCGGCAAGTGCTCCGGTTAACACCTGCAGATCTGTTGCCTACAGTAATGCTCATGATCAACAAGCTCGCGGCCGATTATGCAGGGATTGAACTTGGTATCGGCGAGTCTCTGATCATGAAGGCTATTTCCGAGAGTACAGGAAGGAATCTGAAACAGATCAAGGCGGACCACAACGATACTGGCGACCTAGGCCTTGTGGCGGCAAAGAGTCGATCGAAGCAGCCGACGATGTTCAAGCCTAAGCCTCTGACTGTTCGAGGAGTACACCAAGGGTTGATGACCATTGCGCTCATAACCGGACAAAATGCTCAAACCCGCAAGGTCGATGGCATCAAGAAACTTCTCTCTGCGGCGGATGCAGCCAGTGCTGGGAAGGCCATTGATATCGAAAAGGATAAGGGTGGGCCTAGTGAGTCGAAGTATATAGTTCGCACTCTGGAGGGCAAGCTTCGATTGGGACTGGCGGAGAAGACCGTGCTGGTTGCGCTGTCTCAAGCGATGATTTTCCATGAGATGAACCAGAAGGGGAAGACGCCTTCGTCGGCAGATCTCCTCAAGGCTGAGTCCACGCTGAAGTCTGTCTACAGGTATGTCGTATTTCGCTTGCCGCCAGTTTCATGCTGATCTATGTTGCAGCGAACTCCCCAGTTACGAAGTCATCATCCCCAAGATGCTCGAGGTTGGCATCATGAAGCTACCTGAAAAGTGCAAATTGCAACCCGGGGTGCCCCTCAAGCCTATGCTTGCCAAACCTACAAAGTCTATCACCGAAGTTCTGGACCGCTTCGAGGGCAAGGACTTTACCTGCGAATACAAATACGATGGCGAGCGTGCTCAGATCCATTTCGTCGCACACGATGCTGCTGTGGGCCTGGCTACCGAAGCGCCGAATGCAGGTAAGAGCGAAAAGGGCGTTGCCAACATCTTTTCGCGCAACTCGGAAGATTTGTCGAAGAAATACCCTGATATTCTTGCCAACTTGCCTAAGTGGATCAAGAACGACACAAAAAGCTTCGTCCTGGATTGCGAGACTGTGGCCTGGGATATGGTAGAAAAGAAGGTGTTAGCTTTCCAGCAGCTCATGACGCGCAAGAGAAAGGATGTCAAGGTCGAAGACATCAAGATCAAAGTTTGCGTCTTCGCATTCGACATCTTATTTCTCAATGGCGAGGTTTGTTTCCTACAGCCGATTTTTTCTCTCCTCGTACTCGTACTGACCCCACGCCCAGCCGCTGGTCAACAAATCCCTCCGCGAGCGACGCGCTCTCCTACACTCTGCCTTCGATCCTGTAGAAGGAGAATTCGCTTTCGCTACCTACGGCAACACCTCCGACCTCGAAGAAATCCAGAATCTGCTCGAGGAATCCGTGAAAGCCTCCTGCGAAGGGCTCATGGTGAAGATGCTCGACGGCCCCGAATCCTCCTATGAACCGTCGAAGCGCAGCCAGAATTGGCTCAAGATTAAGAAAGATTACCTCAGTGGTGTAGGGGACAGCCTTGACTTGGTGGTCCTTGGGGCGTACTTTGGCAAGGGGAAGAGGACGAGCTGGTACGGCGCGTTCTTGCTCGCGTGTTACAACCCGAGCACCCAGGAGTTTGAGACGGTGTGTAACATCGGCACGGGGTTCTCGGAAGCCCTGCTCGAGACCTTGCACGAGCAGCTCAGCGCGATCCAGATCGATAAACCGAAGCCGTTCTACAAGCATAGCACGGGGAACAAAGATCAGCCTGACGTGTGGTTCGAGCCGCGCTTTGTGTGGGAGGTCAGGACGGCGGATTTGACGCTCTCACCCAGGTACAAGGCCGCCGCGGATGAGGTGGCGGGTGGGGGCAAGGGAGTCAGTCTGAGGTTTCCGCGGTTCATCAAGGAGAGGGAGGATAAGAAGCCGGAGCAGGCGAGCACGAGTCGGATGATTGCGGAGATGTATCAGCGGCAGGAGGCGGTTAGTAAGAGTAATGGGCCGAGTGTGGATGATGATTTCGAGTATTAGGTCGGGGACGGAGGTGGGAGGTGGGTGGCCGAGGTCACAGGAATGGAGTATCAGCAGATGGCATCCATGTGACATGAGGTACTGTGTATGGCTAGGGGTCCGGTCTCCCATACGAAGGATTTCCTTCCACCCGCTATTCAGAGTGTTTCGCTGTGTCATGAACTTCAAAGCAGGCAAAATGCTATTGGCCAGCTCTCTCTAGGTACACTCCTCCCTCCTTCGCAAAACGAATAAGGGACCCTATGTTGGCAAAAACAAAAACATACAACACCACGCTATTCGCAGCTGGTCACCCACGCTACTACTCAACGGGCGCTACACGGCTTGTGTATGGTCGATCGGACGAGAGGCCCAATTTTCCGTGTGCTATGGTCGTATGTGCTAGTAATTGCCGCATACCCGTCCTAAGTTTGGAGATATCCCCATGCTTGATTCGTTCTCATACTGCAAGTGGAATTATTCCGAACAAGGAGTTGTATTGAGTCTTGAAGACTTTGAGGACTATTAGATTGTACGGTTTCATTCCGTGAGACGGGTTTTCTTGAAAGATAGATTGAACGGGGAATAACTACGCGTCCGGTGCACCTATACAACAGATTCTGCGTTATTGACGCTTACGGCTAAAGCTGCAGAACGGATAGCTAAGCGTGTTAAATACAGCAGCTGCCACCAACATCTATGTTTGCACATGTCACAAGATTAATACACGAGACATCAAGACGAAGCTCGGAGCGGCCGACCCCGACACGCTGACCAGAATGGCCAACCTAGCGTCGAAGAACTGCAACCAAGGCCGGTGGAAGGATGCCGAAGCGCTGTTTGTGCAAGTCATGGAGACTTTTCAGAATCGGCTCGGAGCCGACTATCCTGACACGATGACCGGTATAAACAACCTCGCATTCATACACATTAGGCCAACCGTCCATCGGCCATCGTTCAACCCCATTATTCCAACTCCCTATCTCCCCTCGTCTTATCATGCGACAAGTCAAGACTTCCCTCCCTCGGCAACCTCGTTTCCCCTTTCCTATACCCTAACCCTACCTTTTCCCTCGCCATGTCATTGATCCACCTACTGTTCGGCCGCACATCTTCCCCGCTCGTCAAGCTTTGCGCCAAATACAACCAACTAAGGGCGTTCCCTACTGTGCTCACCTCGTCGCTAACATGCGTCGCCGCGTAGAGACTCATCTTATTATACAGCGTCTTATCTGTAAACAAGTCGTGCAAATATTTGGCTACGGTCTTGTAGTCGCCGGGCTCGACTAGGAAACCTGATTTCTCGTGCTCGATTTGCAGCGGGATGCCGCCAGCGCGCGTAGCGATAATAGGTACCCCTTTATGCAGCGCCTCACTGACCTTAACTTCGAAGCCTTCGCGGGTTGAGAGCTGTAGCGCAACGTGGGCTACGGACATAAGTGCGTTGAGCAATTGATCTATAGGACCTAGACGCATAACTACAACGTCGTCCCTAACGTCGGGATACTTTGTGTCGAGTAGATCAAGCGTCTGATCGTAAATGTATGTAGCATCGGGGTCGTCGATAGCGCCGTGGCCGGCAATAACGAGCTGTGGGATCTGCTCAATAGGCTTGTCTTTCATGTATTCGCGGCGAAACTCTGCATATGATGCTAGTACGTCTGGGATGCCCTTTGCGGGGTCGAAACGCGCGATTTGGACGATATACTCGCGGGCGGGGTACTGGAGCTGATTCATACACTGTTTGAAGCACTCACCCTCGAATTCGTGTATGTAGTATTGCGCATCCCAGTCGCTGAGGGGCTTGTTTAGCCCATCGAGCCAGTCTGTAGTTGCGGGCATGTAGCCGACTTTGCTGGGTATCACTGTCTTGGGTACGAACTCGCGAACAGGGCTACACATGATGAGAAATTGTCTCTGAATTTTAAATTCCACGTGGTCACATACTGGCTGATGAATATATCTGCTTGTTTAATGTTTTCCCAAGCCCAATTCCACACCTCGGATGTTGGGCTACCCTCCTGGTCTGCCAGGTCGGCACGAATCTGAATATGCGAACGGAAAATCACAGGACGATCTGGATCCAGTTCCTTTGCTATTTTGATAAGCCTGGGCATTTGGGGATCGTCGATGATAATAACGTCGGCGCCACCTTCTGAGCGAGGTGCAAGAGCGCCATTTCTGAGTGTCCAGAAACGATCTGCGTTTTGTTGGCACCAATTGTCGAGCATGACAACCTGCTCTTTAGTGAGACGGACGTCCGGATTGGCGACGCCTTGCAGAATATTGTGGTTGTTCTTCGTAATCCGGAAGACCTCTGGCGAGGGTTTTGGCACGTACCTGCCAGAATGTTAACGTGAAAATTCTGGGTACTCAGGTGCAAGACATACCATGAAGCATCCACGCCAACTAGACGGAGAAAGCGGATTAGGGCATGTCGCATCAATGCTACACCACCGCCTTGAGGAGTGCTGTTGAAGAAGGCAATCTGAACCTTGTCTTTTTTGAGGGCTTCGGCATACTTGAGTGTCGCCATCCATGTTGTCTCTGCATTGACTGTCTCCTTGTAGTCATCAAATAGAGCCAGGTGAGCATGTCCATTGCAGTCAACCGCGACTTTGTTCCGGTAGCCAATACCCAAGCGGAGCTGATTCGTGGGGCCAAAGTGTCTAGGCCATACATGAGCCTATTAGCAATACGTGAAGTTTGAAATTCGACCTTACAATAAAGCCTTTCTTGTCATTGTATCCGATTCTTCGTCAACTCGCACATTATGATTACTGCTGTCGGCGAACATTGGGTCCAGTGATGGATCTTCGGGTATCACCAAGGTGACAATGTCGAGTTCCTGCCATAATCGCGCGGCAAGTTCGGGGCTGTGCCTCAATGCATTCGTATTAATGCCAGCACCAGTAAACTTGTAAAAGTGTTTCCTCTGATACTCCCTAATCTTTTCGACGAAGAAGTCAACCAAGGACGCAGGCATATCGTCTTTTATAACAGGAGTGGAACTGCCGGGCCTATCGACGGAATAAGATATTCCTGACCCAAGAGAAGCAAGTGGATCGGATTCGGCCAATTCGGACTGGGCTGCTGCTATTGATAGGTTTACGACTGCGAAGTCAATCGAGTAGGTCCCGTCATGGGCTGCGAAGCCGACATCTAGCGAGCCGCGCGCGCCTTCCTGAATTGCAATGCCGATGAAGAGGGACTACGCGGCCGTTTAGCGGAGAAATCTTATACAGGATCCTCGATGATGCTTACTTGAAGACTGACACCCTTCGCATGCTCGGCGTGCTTCCTCCGGTCCCTGATAGACGACTGGGCCTGGAAATCATGGCGAGTGGTCTGCCGGCGCAAGGACATTTTGTGTGAAGTCAAGAGTTCCAGTTCTGGGGCATAGCATAGCTGCGAATGTCCGAAGGTATAGTGTAGCGGATATAGCGGGTATAGCGGCAAGGCATAGTGTCTTACGTCACTCACGTGTCTAGAATTCAGTCACCTGGGCAGTCATACGATTGGAAGGTGGGGATCACCTCCCTAAGGCGGCAGCAGTACAATCCTCTGCTGTGTATAGTTGCTCGTGGAGATGGAGAGATTTAACGGCCCTTTTCTATTGCTAAAGTTTGTTACTTGATAGGTGCCCGCATGCTTCATATCAAGCTAACGATCTAAAGGTGCTATGATATCCGCCTGGAAACAGAGTCTGTATATCGTGAGTCGTTGGACGCGGCGGCGTGGCGTGACGGTACCTATTCACATAAACGGATGGCATCACATCGGCTCATGTTTGACAGCAGTTCTGCAGTCCAGATGCCAAGGAACCCAAGGATACAAAGACATTCACGGGGGACAGATGGGGTACATAAAAGCATAGCATAATGCACTACCGTTAACTACCCGGAGACAGAAAACCCCCCCCCCCCCCCCGGGGCTGTTAGCCATGGATCATTCGAATGCGAGTGAGGAGGCTATCATCAAAAGAAATTCGAGTCTCGAAACAGATGCACCGGGCCGGAAGAGCCAAGCCCCCTTAGATGATGAGAACCGCAACGAGCTTCAAGATCTCTATGCCACTATCTCACGGAGATCAACCATGCCTGCGGTTGATGATCCAGATGTCGATCCATCGAGCGATTCGTTCAAATTACCCAAGTTTCTAAAGTTGATGCGGCACCAGCTCCAGGAAATCGGCGTCACAATGGAGCATGTTGGAGTTGTGTACAAGAACCTGAACATATACGGTAAAGGTGAAGCGCTGCAGCTCCAGAAGACGGTTGGCTCCATCTTCCTGGCCCCGCTACGAGTCAACGAGTGGTTTAGCTTCGGCAAGAAACAGCACAAGCACATTTTGCGCAGTTGCGATGGTATCGTCAAACCTGGTGAGCTTCTCGTCGTACTCGGTCGGCCTGGCTCAGGATGCAGCACGCTTCTCAAGACAATGTGCGGTGAGCTGCACGGGCTTGAGATGAGTAACGAATCTGTTGTTCACTACAATGGCATCCTCCAAAAACAGATGAAGAAGGAATTCAAGGGAGAGGTCATCTACAATCAGGAGGTTGATAAGCACTTCCCTCGCATCACAGTCGGACAGACACTCGAATTCGCGGCGGCTACACGCACACCAGAGAGGCGTCTTCAGGGCATGTCTCGCAAGGAGTCCGTTAAATTTGTTACGCGCGTAGTCATGACTGTGGTTGGCATGACCCATACATACAACACCAGAGTCGGCAACGAGTTCATTCGCGGCGTTTCTGGAGGAGAGCGCAAACGTGTGAGTATTGCCGAGATGATATTAGCTGGTTCTCCATTTGCCGCCTGGGACAACAGCACAAGGGGTCTCGATTCCGGTGAGTCTGTCTTGAAGCTAGCTCCCCTCATGTACTGACTGTTTCCAGCTACGGCATTGAAATTCGTCAATACTTTACGACTCGTCGCGCACTTCGCTGAAAGCGCCGCTGCCGTCGCCATCTATCAAGCCAGCCAGAGCATTTACGACTTATTTGACAAGGCCACTGTTCTCTATGAAGGCCGACAAATCTACTTTGGACCTGCCGATGCTGCGAAATCCTTCTTCGAACGGCAAGGCTGGTACTGCCCGCCACGCCAGACCACGGGAGACTTTTTGACAAGCGTGACTAACCCACATGAGCGCAAGGCACAAGACGGAATGGAGGATAAAGTCCCTCGCACGCCCGACGAGTTCGAACGCTACTGGCGGGAGTCGCCCGAGTACAAGGAGCTTCTTGCCGAGATTGAGGAACACGAAAAAGAGAATCCGGTCGAAGCACAAAGCCTCAACCTAGAACAGCTTCGCGAACAGAAGCACCTCCTCCAGGCTAAACGTGTTCGTCCTGGATCACCTTTCCGGATAAGCGTACTTATGCAAGTCAAACTTTGCACTATCCGGGCCTACCAGCGCATATGGGGTGACATTACGGCAACAGCATCACAGGCCATGCTCTATATTGTCATGGCATTGATTATTGGCTCTATGTTCTTTGGCCTCGCTAACGCGACAGTGAACTTCTTTGCGAAAGGCTCAGTTCTCTTTCTCGCTCTTCTATTTAACGCCCTTATAGCGATTACTGAGATCAACGGTCTTTATGCACAACGTCCGATTGTTGAGAAGCATGCCAGCTATGCCTTCTATCATCCATTCACCGAAGCCATGGCTGGCATTGTATCCGACATACCAGTTAAATTCGTGCAAGCTGTATTCTTCAATATCATTCTTTATTTCATGGCCGGACTGCGACGCGAACCCGCACAGTTCTTCCTCTTCTTCCTCATCACTTACATATCCACCTTTGTCATGTCTGCCATCTTTCGGACGTTGGCGGCTTTGACACAAACTGTCTCGCAGGCCATGGCTCTTGCGGGAGTGCTAGCATTAGGACTGGTTGTCTAGTAAGTAGTTATCCATCACAATCACTGTCGGCAATATACCTACCTTTTTTTAGCACCGGTTTCACAATCACCGTCCCGAGCATGCGCGTCTGGTTCAGCTGGATCAGATGGATCGACCCACTTTTCTACGCCTTCGAGATCCTGGTCGCCAATGAATTCCACGGCCGCCAATTTACGTGCTCAGCAATCATTCCATCCTACACACCTCTCCAAGGTGATTCATGGATATGCGACGCTATTGGAGCTGTTGCGGGCCAACGCACAGTCAGCGGCGATGCCTTCATTGAAGCGAATTACGAGTACTGCTACTGCCACGTCTGGCGAAACTTCGGCATTCTTATGGGATTCCTCTTCTTCTTCATGTTCATCTACTTTGTTGCGGTCGAGTTAAACTCGTTGACATCGAGCAGTGCCGAAGTACTTGTATTTCAACGAGGCAATGTCCCCGCTTACATGCAGAAGGACGACAAAGAAATGCAGTCTGATCGGGAAAAGCGTGTTGCAGTTGATGCTAATGCATTGGCCGCTGAAGCAAACGTCAACGCTTTCATGCCTCAAACGGACATTTTTACATGGCGCGATGTTACGTATGACATTCAGATTAAGGGGGAAGAACGTCGCTTGCTGGATCATGTCGCTGGGTTCGTGAAGCCGGGTACACTTACGGCATTGATGGGTGTAAGTGGTGCTGGCAAAACAACATTACTTGATGTTCTTGCTCAGCGTACAACAATGGGAGTGGTCACGGGAGACATGTTCGTCAACGGGAAGCCTCTAGATGCGAGTTTTCAACGCTCGACTGGCTACGTACAACAGCAAGGTTAGTTATTTCTCCTACGTTGTATGATAATGGCTGACTGATTGCAAATAGATCTTCACCTTGAAACTGCCACAGTTCGCGAGAGTCTTCGTTTCAGTGCCATGCTGCGCCAACCGAAGACTGTCAGCAAGCAAGAGAAGTATAACTATGTGGAAGAGGTTATCAGGATGCTTAACATGGAGGATTTTGCCAGCGCTGTTGTCGGCGTGCCCGGAGAGGGTCTGAATGTAGAACAACGCAAGCTGCTGACAATTGGTGTCGAACTGGCAGCCAAACCAAAACTTCTGCTCTTCTTGGATGAGCCAACGAGCGGTTTGGACTCTCAGGTAAGCGAACGCAGTTCCTCCAATATATATAAAAAAGTGAAGTGAAAGGACTAGGAAAAAGGAAAAAAACCACTGACTTTATTGCAGAGTTCCTGGGCCATCTGCGCTTTCCTCCGCAAGCTCGCCGACCGTGGTCAGGCGGTGTTGTGCACCATTCACCAACCTTCTGCTATTCTATTCCAGGAGTTCGACCGTCTACTCTTCCTTGCCAAAGGAGGAAGAACCGTTTACTTTGGCGAGATTGGCAAGAATTCCGGCGAACTTCTCAAATATTTCGAGGAAAACGGTGCCCGCAAGTGCGGGGATGAAGAAAATCCGGCCGAATACATGCTGGAGATTGTCAATGCCGGGAAGAACGATCAAGGTGAAGACTGGCATGATGTCTGGAAGCAAAGCAACATGCGCCAGATAGTTGAACAGGAAATTGATCGCATACACGAGGACAAGAAGCACCAAGAGGCCGCCGGCGCAGACGAACCCATACCGACTTCAGAGTTTGCTATGCCATTCGGTCAGCAGCTGTATGAGGTCACTTATCGTGTCTTCCAACAATATTGGCGCATGCCCACCTACATCTTCGCAAAGATTGGTCTTGGTATTGCTGCAGGTTTTTTCATCGGGTTCAGTTTCTACCAGGCCAATTCATCGTTGGCTAGCTTGCAGATCGTTCTGTTCTCTGCTTTCATGCTAACCACCATCTTCACGATCCTCGTACAACAGGTAAGTTCGCCTGCCCCCTTTTGAGTCGATGCTGATAGCCACAGATCCAACCACTCTTCATCACCCAACGAGAACTCTACGAGGTGCGTGAGCGTCCAAGCAAGGCCTACTCCTGGATGGCCTTCATGATGGCCAACATCATCGTCGAAATTCCATACCAGATCTTCACCGGCCTCCTCATCTGGGCCTGTTTCTACTATCCAGTCGTAGGCACCAGCCAAAGCTCCACTAGGCAAGCGCTCGTCATGCTCTTCTGCATGGAACTCCTCATTTACGCCAGTGCCTTCGCGGACATGACAATCGCCGCGCTCCACGATGCGCAAACCGCCTCTAGTCTGGTCATGCTACTCACCTTCATGAGCATCCTGTTTAACGGCGTGCTGCAGTCTCCCACCGCTCTCCCTGGCTTCTGGATCTTTATGTACCGCGTGTCGCCCTTCACCTACTGGATCGCCGGAATATGCGCCACGATGCTCCACGGCCGCCCCGTCCGATGCACACAGGCCGAAACCTCGCAGTTCAACCCACCCTCAGGCCAAACATGCGGTCAGTACCTCTCCGCGTATCTCGAGACTGCACCAGGCGTTCTTCAAAACCCGGACGCGATTGCCGACTGCCGGTACTGTTCGCTCAGGAGCTCGGACCAGTTCCTGGCCCTCTCGAATATTTACTACAGTGAGAGGTGGCGCAACTTTGGCCTTGTCTGGGCGTATGTCTTGTTTGATATTGCGGTGGCGGTGCTCACGTACTGGACCTTCAGGGGCGAGAAAAAGCGGAAGGGTTTGTCGAAGAAGACGGGGTCTAAGAAGGGCGGAAAAGCTAAAGGTGATGTTTAGTTTCGCCATTAAGGATTTCTCGCACGGGCTTTTCAGGCGTAATGGAGGTGTAATGGGCCGACTGTTTAGTTCTGCAGGCCATTAAGGAGTAATTTTCTAGTCCTCAGCTGTAATTAGCGGACTGTTTAGTTATCTTCTGTCTCTTAGCCCCTATTAAGGATTAATTTTCTTGGACCGCGTCTAAATCCCTGCACCCCTCTGACCGCCTGCCTTACTCCCCTAGGGTAGGTATAACGTGCTCAGGATCTCGCCCATTAGAAATGACTCCTCAAGGGTAGTACTTTGTAATGGGCAGGATCGCACACTGCATGCTACACCGTATCTAGCCCGTCAAAAACTCCATTAGAAATACTGCCTAGCCCGTGCGAGAGTTCCTTAATTTCGAAACTAAACACCGCCAAAGAGAAGAGCGCGAGAGTTGGGGAGAAGGATGTGCAAGGGACTCGGCCGCCCACCAGGGAGACATAGTTTGTTGAATAGGTCGTTTTTAGAGAAATGGCCAGACATGATTTAGGATCTCTGCAACTGCCCCCATCGCGTTACCACCTGTCGTCTCTCGGCTTGCGTTGAATGGTGAAGGTCATCGATGCCTTGTCTCAACCGGACGAGCATTATCTCCGCCGTTAGTTTCGTCAAGTGGCGCTTTGCAAATTCCTTTTCTATCCCTTTCAAGGTGTACCCAGGTAAGCTGAAGACGGCAGCACCAACATTAGTGACGAAACCAGCTCCAGCGCCCAAAACCCCCTTTGCTAAACCCCTTCCACCGTCTCTCTCTGCGCCTATGTATGGCTGAACCACAATGCCGCTAAGAGCATCATAGAATCCCATCGCAAATTCCTTCCCCGCAGCCTTGAGACCACTTCCAAATCCGGTAATCTCGTCTCTCCGCCTCACCGGTCCACCATTCCAAACATACGAAGGAGAATTGTGGAACCCATTCGCCACGTTGTAGAAGAATGCTATAGGTGCTTCAAGACTAATCTTTGCCAACTGACCAGCGTAACAAGTGAAAGCGCGAGTAATGTGGTAAGCTCGGCCATGCTCTCCCTTGTCTCGGGCCTTCCACATCATCTTATGTCTTTCACGGAACGTCGGCGAGGGTCCTTCTGGTATGGTTGCGTCGCCAGCGGATAGGGACTTTGTTGCCATTTTGTGGGCCAAGTGTTGCATTTGCTGTATCTTAAGCGGGCGCGGTGGTATTTCTCCCGCAGGGTCGTTGAGATAAGACGAGGGCGGCGAAACGGCTCTTTCGCCATTCGCGTTGTTTGTAGGTGGAGGTGACTTGATGGACTCCTCTCGTGGTCTAACCGCAGGAGGCACTTTTAACTGATACAAGAATTCAGATGTTGCGGTGCCGACGGCCATGAAGAAGCCGGATACTGAAGCTAGGGCGCCAACGATGGGGCCCTCCGCACCTTCGTTTACGTACCAATGCTTATGACGTAAAAGCTTGAAATCACGGGGCTTTTGAACACCTGCGTGGACGAGGCTGCTGGCGGCGAAGGAGCTGAGATGTGCGCCTGTTTTTTTATGTTTCCAGTGCGCGACCCTTGAAGGACAAACGTCACAGCGTAGACTACCAATGTCGAGTCTTGATTGCACGTCTGCTGCTGCATTTTCAGCGCCATGTTCTTGTGCAATGTTTTGGGCCATCTTTTGCACTGCTGCTTGGACCTCTGGTTTCAAGGCGAAAGTGATACCGGCTGCGAGGGCTGCAGCAGTCAGCTTCTTGAATGGAACGGGCACTGGCCCTGCTCCGGCACGCGCGATCATATCGCCCCAGAAAGGCTGGTCGCCAAAGAAAGGAACGACAATTGTTGGTCGCCCTGCTGCAATACCGGCTGCTGTTGTGCCTGCACCGCCGTGGTGGACGACGACTGATACGCGCTGAAAAAGCCAATCGTGAGGGCAGTTTCCGATGAGGTAGATATTGTCGGGAACTTCTTCGCCGCCGCCGCCAACACCGCCCCAGCCTGTTGAAACAATAGCTCGGACGTTGGCAAGTTTTGCCGCTTCAAGGACGAGCCGAGTAAGGGCTTGAGGATCGTCTACAACTATAGAGCCGAATCCAATGTAGACAGGCGGAGGACCACTCTCGAGAAATTCGCTGAGATCTACGGGAGGTGTGTATGATGTAGCCTGATTTAAGAAAGAGAACCCGGTGATGTTGATGTGGGAGTCCCAGTCTTGTGGTCTGGGTATGAGTGACTCTGACCAGAGGTAGGTGTATGGAACGCGTAATCTGGGGAGGAGTTGGTATCCCCACATAGGACTGATGGGATCGAGCCGCAGCGTCCGTGTTCGGAACTTGTTGATCAGATCTCCTAGTCTGGAAGACAATTAGCTAGTGTTCGGTATTCTTTGAAATTGAATATTATCAGCTAACCCTTGCCATGTCAACAGCTCCATCGCCATATAAGACAGGTAGTTGGCAACTTTCTTATCAGCTTCACCGTAGTCCATTGCTGCTAACGGATGATGGAATGCCTGCGTTGGTGACCACGGCATGGTAAACACCATGTGTAGCGGGATGCCAAGTTTTTCCGCGCAGTGAATATGCGCCATGGATGGCGGATTAGCGATGATGGCATCTGCGATGAAGAGGTCTTTTGCGTCGGGTACCTGAGCCGCAGATATCCTCGTGCCCATTCCGTCCCCGCTCTCTATACAGCTTCTCCAGACACCATTCATTATCTCAGTCATCTCTTTCCTACGCTTGCTAATATCGCCGGCTTTGATGCTTTTCATGCTTGGGAGAAGCCCTGGGTTCTTCACCATGTATGCCATCAAGGCTTCTGGGTCACCACCAATGCTGAAAAACTCGACGCCATTCGACTCGACAAAGGCCTTAAATACCGGATGCGTACAAATTCGCACTCGATGGTTGAACGGCTGCTTTTGCAACAACTGCGCAATGGGTATGAAAGGCTGAACATCGCCTCGGGAGCCAACGATATGAATGGCAATGTTTAGTCGGGGGCTGATAGCGACTTTCTCATCAAGGAAGGCGATGCTGTTTTTGCGCGAGGCTTGCGATTGCTTCTTGTGTCGATGTTCGCCAAAAGAACTATGGAAGCGCTTGAAATATTCGGCAAGCTGCTGGGGGTTGGAGTGAAATTGTACGTTGATGCGTCCATCCGTACGAACATGGTTGAGGGTCTCCATGTTTGCGTCGTCGATGGCGAGCTGCCCAGGATAATTGGACTTCGCGACTCGAGGCATGGTGCTGCAATCAGTGACCCTTTCAGCTGCGAGCCACCGTTCGCCGCCGCAATGCGTTGGCTACCCAAATTCGCGTTGCTAATAAAAAGCACAAAACAACCCCTTGCAAAGTTCAAGGCCCGATAGTCATATGCCTGGATAAGTGCGCCAACACTACGTCGGAATCACCTGCCTACCCAAAGGCTAGATTATCTTAAACTAGCCACAGGCCAATGCCTGCACTCTGCTGGGCCGGCGATGCAGCTAGACCTTGCCCTGCGATTCATTGTCAGCCGCAAACGCCAACACTAAGCGACAGCGTATCCGTAAGAGATCTCGCCGCTGGGGAGCCGTTAGCTGCGGGGCGACGCCTCCGCCTGGGTCAGCGTCATAGAAACACCATCCCCCCCAGTTATGTAGGGCGAGACTCTGTGGAACAAATCAAACGCACCCTGCGAAAAGGGATCACTACGCTAAGCGGTGATATTAGGTTTCAACATTTTTTTTGAATACGAATGGATTGCAGGGATTTCGTTCTTCAGTGATGCCGATTTCTCGAAACGCTAATGGGCCAAACGACGAGTAGCTGCCCATCTTCTGCAGCTATGTGCTCACTCGGCAGGATTGAAGCGACTGGCTCGCTTCATGACTGCGGCGTATCCGTTCATCACAGGAGTCTGGTGGATAGAACAAACAGAAAGAGGAGGAAAGGTAGATACTAACCTGAAAGAACTATAATCAGCTTGCTCGCACAATCCCGAGGTGAGATATCGAGATATTATGCATAGCTACCAAGTCTATTTCGATGCCGTCCTGCTGTTGGCGAAGACTTTATTCACAGTGGGTACCCATGAATACCACAACGCTGTTCTATTGATACTGACACTGGCTGGCAACATAGCCACCGGCCGTTTCCGCAATAACATCAAGCAGTGCGATTTATCACATCCATCCTCAAGCCGAACATCCATCTTTTGCCAGACGATCTCTTTCTAGCGCCGGAGCGATACGATCTGCCACTGTAGTATGCCGCATGTCCTCACCGGTACCGTACTTTTTTACACACGGGACAATCACACATTTCAGTGGATGATGGCTATAACATCTGAATATTGACACTGGAAGTCGAGAATCTCTGAAGCAAAAAAGCACAGATTCTGGAAAGCTGATTGTAAGAGTGAAGACGGTGGACAGAGGGTGCAAACCGGCTTGACGGATTTTCTTCTACCATTGTGTGGGATACAGATGCCTTAAAAATCACTTCCGCGAGATCAGCCACTCCATATACCGACAAAAGGCCAGAGAGCAACACGTACCTACCCAACGGTCGGTCTAGAAACGAAGGCACGATAAGCGTATTGTTCGAGCAAACCGACATGCTGTTACTCCTTCCGCAGATATTCCCTGATGCCAAAAGCACACAAGTGCCTATCCTACATTGATGAATGCCTTCGTAAGCTTCAATAAGGATGAAACTAAACTGCTCTTCTCAAGTTTCGCGCAAAAAGTTCATCGATGCAAAGCCCTCATCTAAACCTTTGGCTCTCATCTTCTAGATCGGCGAGTGACCTAAGATTACCCTTTGCACTCATCTCCAAAGCGCAATTAGACTCATGGTCTCGAGGAACGTTCACCTCAAGCACCCTGGGCACACCTCCCTCTTCCCAAACTCACCTTCAATCCCACCTAAATGCTACCCTCTCGCCAGAACAAGCCCTCAAGACTTCAATCCCACAAACCCGCGCTACGCTCTACCTCCCTCTCTCTATGCTCGTATAACGTAGTCTTCCCCATAACATTCACACGCTCCCTGCACCCACGCAGACCTGGCGAAGAGTTGATGAGCCGCAGCCGCCCGCTCCCCAACACTACCTTCACCCGAGCGCTACCGACCTCAATAGATACCTATACCTTACACCAACACATTATCCACGCATGCTCCAGGAAGAAATTGAGAGCAGGGCAAACAAGCTTCTCTGACAGGTGGTCTCGAGTTACTTGGTGGGGTTAGCTACATAGCGACACCCCAAAAATTTCTCAGTCGCCTTTAGGAACAAGAAGCTCCGTCACAGAGGGATCACATTCATCCTTCCTTCTTGCACGACCATCCAGCTCGCGTCGTGGTCAACAGCACGCGTTGGCAGAGGAGACGGCGGAAGGCGAAGAAGCCGGGCGCAGAACCGGCATTACGGCATCAAGGTAATGATTTTCTGGCGGGTCGAAAGCAGAGAAGTGAGAGCGGAGAGGTATCCAGCACTCACGGGTTCCCATAGAAATCGTGCAGAGACTGTTCGGTCGCACCTCAACGTTGCAGCTCGTCGAGCGTCAAAACCAACTCCAAATCACCATCTCTCTTGAAGGACGACGCCCCGCTTTCGACCAGCGCGGCAATCCCATCACCCTCACCCTCGTCTCATCCCCATCACATCAGGAAAAAAGCACGGTTATGTCCCAGCAGTCCCACAACTCCTCTCCATCTTTTCACGGAGCCTAAATAGCAGTTGTTTAGGAAAGAACGTCTGGAATGTCACTCTACGGGGCCGGGAACGGAAGACTATCCATGGAGAAAACAAAGGATAACCCTCAGCAAGCCGCTTTCGCGGAGCCACGATAAAAGTAAAGGTTGTAGCCTTTACCTACTGATGTTGTAGATGAAAGGGAGCTGGCGAGGGAAAAACTTTGCTTTTGATCATCTTTGCTTGGCCCGTGCGCGTAGTCTTAGTCAGTAGCAGCTCATTTGTTGGCCAAGGACCACTGTGGGGCTGAATAGAGGACCAACAGCAACAAATCTTTCAAGGAGCAGTGGAGAACGACTCCAAAGAGGAGGCCTTGATATGAGCAGACAATCTTAAGCACGGTAGTCGATCACATCACAGAACTTAAGACACTGATTATGGGCTTCATGCATTTCATTACGATACTACACTAATGCCCACACTTGAGATACGCTTTAAACGTCATGAGAGCGAGAACCGAGACTCTCAGATCGATTTCGGCCGCTAAATACTCCTGATCCAGCTACGAACCGACCCAGCACACTTAGTAAAGGCGCTTGGGAGGGCTCATGGTAGCCTTGATGGTCAGGGACCCAACGTTCTGCCATCCCTTCTTGAGCAGGGAGACGAGGTAGTTGATGGCCAACATGATGTTGCCAATGAGCTCATCCTCGGTCATGCCAACGTTGCCGACAGCGACACCCATGCAGAGCACCTTCTTGAGCTGGAACTTGATGGTGGACTTGACCTCGGTCATCTTGTTGCCGAGATCTTCGGCGTGGGAGATGGGGGTAGGGAACTTGCCGGCCTTAGACAGACCGGGACCAAGGAGACGGGGAATCTGCTTGATGAGGGCGTCGGAGGCGAGGAAGGCGTCGTACTTGCGGGCGAGCTCTGCAACATTTTAAGTACGTAATTCCTTCTAGATGTGAGCAGCGCAACATACTCTTGATGAGCTTCTTGTTCTTGTTCAGCTTCTTCAAGTCGTCCGCAGACATGGCATCGGTGCCCAAGTGCTTAGCGCGATCAATATCGTGCTGGTCACCGAGGACGCAGAGCGACATGCGAGGGCGGGGAACGACGGGAAGCTTGACAGTTCCGGAGAAACGCTTGTCACGCTGGGGGTCGTAGTTCTTCAAGCCGATCTGGAGCTCTGGTACTCGGTCAGCACGACAGTCCTCATTTTGACTCGGACGGGGCGGAACCTACCGACGGTCTCGAGGAAGTTCCTCTTCTTGGTCTCATTGCTGTACTCAAGCAGTTCCTTGACGTTCTGGCGCACGCCGGCAACAGAGATCTTCGACATGATGAATGATGTCTCCCAAAGTGTTTCTTCTTTGGTGGCTCTGTGGCGTGGGTCGGTGGTTGAAGAAGAGAAAGTTGCGGGAGGCGTGAGGCTTCGATATTCGCTTGGGTGAAAGTGGGTTTGAGCCAAATAGGGTTAGTGTAAGAATCAAATGCCAAGACTTTATGAGCACTCAAGCAGTTGAAACGAAAATCAAAGGTCTCAAAATCACCAGGTCAAAAGTTCGGTAGCTCGCTAGAATACACGTCCGCTCCAACGAAACTATCATACACTCGCCTCCATAACCTCCAGGATAATCCCAGCCTGCACCGATGTTCCATGCAAAAAAGAAGATCTGAGAGAACCCCGCAAAACTCCAATTCCATAAATCAAGATTCGTATATCCTGGGGAGAGAATCAGGCCAGGTAGAGGGTATCTGCATCGCACCGTCCATGCACTTTTATATCCCTTGCTGACCAACGCCGAATCGCGCAAATCCCCCAGCGGAGAAGCGCAATCGATAAAGAGATGGGTATGCAAATGAATCATCTTGAAGAAAGGACCTTCCCAAATGTACACATGCTGAACCTAAGGATATGCTTAAAGGGTATAGAGGAGGCAAGTAGAAGTTGACGTATCAGGTTTGAGTGGGAACAGGTTCGCTCAGTGGAGCAGCTGCTGGTTGCCAGCCGGCTCTACGACATTGTCCGAGAGGTTGATAAGAAGCTGAGCGAGGCAGCGTTTAGTTGCGGCATCGTCGCGTAAAACAGAAGAGAAAGTTGCATCACGCAGAGGCTCTGGGAGGCATTGACGGAGGGCTTCGCGAGCGCGAGCATTGTCGCTAAGTCTGGTTGCGGTGTCAGCGTGCATGTATGCGCCACCAAGTTCTGCGGACTTACCGTAAGAAACACCTGACGACATGCTTGAGCAGGCGGACGGTCTGCTGTTCCACAAGCTGATTGACCATATTGCTGAGAACCGTGCCTACAGCATAGAAACGCTCGTATGTCTGGCAGATGTATGCAAGACCAATATCGTCCAGCAAGATCTTCTGTACAATGAAGATGGCGACGGTCTTGCTCAGTTCAGAACCAGTCTCCATTATGCGGAGGCAGAGCGGTATGATTTCGGTAGTCAGAAGGAAGTTGATCACCTCCGTCGAATCGTTCTTGACAAGCGCTCCGATAACTCCAAGGGATGTTAGGCGGAGATACTCAAATGGACGGGATTTCGATGTCGTGTTGAGAAAAGGATATAGGAATAGCGGAATGTGTGCTTGATCTGGTCAGCAATTGTCCAACAGGCCTTTGTTGCCTTCATACCGCTAAGAAAGAGACCGCGTGTCTCCGGGTGAGAGGCAACGCATTGCAGAAGGGCGAGGGCATTGCAAACTCTGTTCGATGCCGCGGCCGTCAATTGTGAAGGGTTGAGAAGAGGATACACTGAGATGATCTCCTGCAGCAGAGAAGCCATGACGCCTTATATCGGTAAGTTTGAATCGCACACTGCAGAGAGCAGACGTACCAAAAGAATGCCACAAGATCAAAGCCAGCTCTGGAACCTGCTCTCGCTTCTTGCTTAGTTCCAAGAGCGCAGTCTCCCGGGTCGCGGGATTCATCAGTTCGGCGATCCACTGGAGCACGCGCCTGTTGTCCTCAGTCATGCCTGCGTCCCCGCTCAGCTGGCCGATATCTGTAGCTGGACCACGCGGGATTGCGCCACCGCCAGGGAGAGTCGTTCCGTTCGTGCCTGGCATGCGATAATGCTGCTGAGCTGCCATAGAGGCCACTGCGGCCGCTTGAGCCTGCGCCTGCGCTTGCTGGTGCTGCGCGTGCTGCGCTACATGATGGCCCGGGTGTTTAGGATGGGTTTGCGACCACTCGAACGGGAATTGCTGCTGGTGTAGGAAATGCTGCATTTCGACTGCGTTGTGGGGTTGTGGAGAGAAGAGAGAGAGCGAGACTGGGAGACGAGCTCTGGATCGAAGCGGCGCTATGCAGCGCCGGAGCGGAAGGGGCGGTGAGTATGCGAGGACAAGGTGCGAATCGGGTGGTTAATAAGCTGTGGAGTACTGAGCGACTGCTCTTGCTGCCTTATGACTGTGGGATTGAGCTCCTGGAGGTGAGGGTAGGTGAGGGTAGGTGTGCGGTTGTCAACACCGAACGGCGAACCGACCCCACTGGTCCGTGCAGATATCTCTTGGCATTGCTGTGTCGATCTATGGAGGTACAAGTAGTGGTGTGGGCGCCAGCTTTATGCCATATGCTGCAGCTCCTACGGACAATTGACCAAGTTCAAGAGCTTCGTTTAGTCAGACTCCTCTCTTACTGCATTATACTTTGCCCGATCAGACTAACATCTACCAAATGAATCTTCTCATTGCCTCCATATCTAAAAGCCCTACTATGTCTAAGCTAAGCAAGGATCCATAAACGTAAAATAGCGAAATGCATGTGCGGCTGATAATATTACATCCTTCCCCAAGCAAGTTCATCATCATTGAAATCCTACAGCCTTCGTAAGAAAGCTCCCACATTAATAGATTATATGAGAAATTCATAATGCCATGCCGATTCACGCCAAAACATACTTCGCAAGAATACTTTCAACTCTCAGGCTGCCCCCTTCCACGGACGCTTCCCTCACAGTCGCAGCTCAGCAAGAATGGTCTGTGCCATGTTCTTATACTGCCATGTGTTTCCATCGACCTTCTTGAACTGGATTCCGTGCAGCTGCAGGAGGGGTACTTTGACGATGAGTATCTCAAAAACAAGAATCATGCTATTGCCCAGGTCGCTCTGGACCTGTGTCGTTGTCTCGCCCGGTGGGACTGGCCTAGGGGCTCGGTGAGGCCGGTCCTCCTTGTCGTCGCTCTCATCAGAAGCGTCGCTGTTAGACGAGCTGCCGTCGGGAGCCGAGGGCCGATGTCTTGAAGATTTGGGCGTCTGGGGCGCACGGTGTTGCTCCCTAAACTCGTCCCGATCCCGCTCTCCAGACTTGAAGCCGCCAAAGCTGATCCTGCGCCTGTGACCAGCTGAGGGATTCGCTGCCGTGGGAGAATCAACAACGGTGTTGAGGTCTATGCTGGGAACGTGCCGGCATTTGAAGCCACCTTTGATCTCCGTGTATGTGACCCCGAGTTGACGAAGGACGCGAATGATGTCCGCCTGGATATACGACAGGGGTTTGTTGCTAGTAGTGGAAACGCTGAACAAGCCTTTGAGAAACACGGGCTTGACTGCGTCCGGGCTGCGGATGGCTTCACCCTGCGACTCTGCGACCTCGGCGTCCGTCTCCTCAGGCACATTAGACTGTCTCGCTTGCTCTCGCCGCGCTCTCCTGGCCTGGATGCTCTCCCTACGCGCATGGCCAAGGGACTTGGTGCGAGAGGCTGGCACGCGCCGCTGATCGGCTTGGAAGTCCTCCGAAGCAGCATCTGGCTTCACTCGCTGATCACTAAGGTCAGAGCGGTCTGAGCCACTGGTAGCCGGCGGATTTCCAGGATCTTCCGAAGACCTCCCGCGACGGCTCAGGCGTCTCCGAAGGTCACCGGAGTTGACACTTGTAGACCGCCCAAGGCCCTTCAATTTCCGTGCGGTAGGATTGCCTGTAGCTGGAGGAGACAAAAAGTCTTGCTGATTAGCTTGCTCTGGCTGTGGAGTGGGCGGTTCCTCTCTACCACGAGCTCGACGGATGCTGAAGCTTTTTCGTGGCACGCTCGAGGATTCTGGTGGGCCAGATACAGCGACCGCAGGTGTTGGGAGATGTTCCCGATCGAGGTTTCTGTGCTTCCTGGTGCTAAAGCGCCGTAACAATCCTGCAGCTGCGCTTTCTTTCCTCACCGTAGGTTGCTCTATGGGAGGTGTAATGATAGCCGGCGAGACATTCCCAGTTGGCGGTTTGAGGCTCAGTTTCTGCAAGCTCTCTGTGACCTCCTCTTCACCATGAGTCCTAGCTCTGGGACGCGATCTTCCTCCTGTAGGCTTCTCGCCAGCCATCTCATATGTAGCGGGGTTAGTGTAGGCAGCCTCGGGAGCGGGTAGATCCGGCATTTTGAGGGGAGTCTCTGCCGGACTTTGGGGCATGGCCAGAGCTCCGGGATTTGCTTCAAGTCGCTCACGGTCCCGCTTCTCACGTACGAGATAATAGACGGATATGAGGGGACTGAAAGCGTTGACAGGGTCGAGGCCGCGCTGGACATCCTCGGAGGAAGTGGTGGTCAATTGCTCTCTGCTTGAGATTGAGTTTCGTCTCTTGTAGAAGTCAAACATTCCTCTCTTCTTCTCGTGCTCTGGCGTCTGCACTGCAGCTCTACGTGCCGCTATTCGCACTGCGCGCTGATATTCTTCTGACTGGATGATATTCGTGAGTTGGGTGGTGATGTACTCTGGAGTCCCAAAATCGAATCCGGTCATTCTATCAATGATCTCCTTGTCTAGCGGAAGTTGGAGCGGCTCTCGGTGCGGTAGGTAATTCTCCGGAGGGCTGTTAAACCCCTTGGTCAACCAGGGGTGGTTCATAATCTCGCCGAGGGTTAAGCGCTGCGAAGGATCGGTTTGGAGCATCCTGTGGATGAGATTGCGGCATTCTACAAAGAGTCAGGAGCAGGAACAGGAATTATGCAGTAAAGATTGGAACATACCAGCCGATAACCACGGGGGATAATCGACATGGCCTTTCTTGATTTTAGCATGCAATTGCGGCATACTCTGATCATCAAAAGGGACCTTCCCGCAGACCAAAACATAAAGAACAATGCCAAAGCTCCAAACGTCCACTTCAGGGCCTGTATATTGCTTTGCCTGCAGCAATTCGGGGGCGGCAAAGTACAGACTTCCGCAGAAGGTCTTCAGCAGGCTGCGGGGCGAGAAGAGGTTACTCAAGCCGAAGTCGATGATCTTGATATCGCCGGTCTTGCTGATCAGGATATTCTCAATCTTCAAATCTCGGTGAACGATACTATTTCTGTGGCAGTAATCGAGGGCGCTCGCGATCTGGCGTGCGAACTTGCGAGCCTGTTTCTCCTTCAAGCGGCCGTGGGAGATGATGTAGTCGAGCATTTGGCCGCCGTTGACGTACTCGAAGAACATGTACCAATGGTACTGAGTGCGGACGACATCGCGCATGCCGCAAATGTAGGGATGGTTCAGGAGGGTGACAATGGCGGCCTCTCTCGCCGTCCGGACCTCTTTCGAGTGGTCGGCTCTCTCGCGGTCTGCCTGGCTATGGTGCTGGTCGGTGGATTGCCTAGGGACAATCTTGACAGCGACCTGCTCTCCCGTCTCCTGATTCTTGGCCAGTTTGACCTTGCCCATGCTCCCCGCGCCAATTGTCTTCCCCAGGGACCATGTCCCCGTGTTGGGGGCGGTTATGGTGGTCCGCCGCCGTGTGGGAGGGGCTGCTGCATTCGACGAGCGGGTCGTGTCAGCGGTTACGCCGTTGATGGGCATATTGGAAGCTGTCGACGCGTCAGACGCATAGCGGTGATGGCCGCGGCGTGAGGAGGTGGTTTCGGTGCGGGACAGAGGCGCGGAGCGGTCCCTGTCGGTGCTGGGGCGGGAGGTGGAGGAGCTCGCGAGATTGGTCTGCTCGTAATCACGACGAGCTACGGTTGCGAGATGGGGAGCCTGGGGTGCAGGCGGGCGGGCGTGGCCCTGGGCGAGGGAGGGGGATGGACGAGCGTTGGTGGACAATGAACGATGAGGGCGGTCTGAGGGACCTGAGGACGCGGGCACAGTCTGGTGCTGCCGGTGGGACGTCGCAGCTGACATGGCGAGGCTGCGCAAGGAGCGCGTGCGGGCCTGGTCTCTGTGGAATGCGATGCTCGACTCTGTGCACCCCCAGGATGCGGGAGATGCGTCTGGTAGAGGGTGGACAGCAGACGGGCAGCCGCCGCGCGACGATAATCGAGGGTGCAGCAGAGCGATGGATTGGGCTGCGAATGGAGGTGGTGGGAAACCCAACGTGGAGACGAGGTCGCTTTCAGGGGGGAGGTGGGTGGTTGGAGGTGTGATGATGGGGGTCGGCGGGAACTTGGCGGCGATCGATGTTCTGTTACGTTGGCAGAGCAGCAGAACAGCAGAACAGCAGAGAAGCTATGATTATAATTATTTAACTGCGAGGAGGCCCAGTCAGGCACCGTAGCGCCTCGACTCGGGCTGCACAGCAACACGATATCGATGCAGGACGTTGGCCCGCAGCCCAGAAGGTTGACCAGCAGCGGGCACAGCATACCCAGTATACAGGTATACTTGTCCTACTGTGTACACATCACGAACAGCAGCCAGTAACTCTTACCAACAGCATCCGCACACGCGAGCGGAATACGGATACGCTGAATGTGTAGCTGTGGCCTTTGTTCAAGGAATTTAAATAAAACCCCCTTCGAGTACCCCTTGGGCAGTCCTCGCCTCGACTCTGTTCCTGGGCACTGCGACGTCATGGCGTAGCGTGTCCCCACCAGCAAAGTCGGTTGCCCTGACAGCATCCTGTCGTTGAGGGACGTACCATATCACAGCACTGTGCATAGATCCTGGCTCGCTGATACTCTCTAATCTTATCATAGATTCCTGAGAAGAAATCCCCTAATAAGGCCGAGGAAACAAACTGCTGATGGCCAACTGTGCCATAGTACAGTCCGGGTTGTGTAGAAACTTCGGTGACGGTGAAGGTGCACCGCTTGTTAATCCAGAGCTATAGGTCAGTAACTCAAACTACAACCAAGCCTATCTGCAACAATCTCACCTGCTGCTGCACTGTCTGGTATTCAGTTCGATGTTGATGGAGTGCAGGATATCTGGCTTAGTCAGCTGAACAAAGTGGCCTGTGCTCTCTCGAGCTCACTTCACAATTCCGCAACTCAAAACACGCCGGTCGGTTGTCAAACCTCCGAGCTTCCTCATGACTGAGGGGCGCAACTCTATATTTCCTTTCCTCAAGGACCTCACGAAGGCAACATGGCCTACAAACGCCCTCGCCCACCCTCACCTGGCGCAGCTCAGAAGCGGGCCCGTGGAGGTGCCGCTGCCTCGATGATCAAGTTGGGCACCGAGCTCCCCCCAGACGAGGATGGTGACAGTGGTGCCTTCGTGCCCGTGTGGAAACAGACTGTGACAGACGATCGAGGGCGTAGGAGACTGCATGGAGCCTTTACCGGTGGCTTCAGTGCAGGGTAAGTTCACCTATCCACCGCGCGTGCAACGGCCATTCTCCTTGACTACGATTAGGTACTTCAACACCGTGGGCTCCAAGGAAGGATGGACACCCAAGACTTTTGTCTCCTCTCGATCCGACCGGAAAAAGGATCAAGGTGCCCTCGCACAGCGACCCGAAGACTTCATGGATGAAGAGGACCTGGCCGAGGCCGCTGAATCCCGCCGACTGGAGACTGCTCAGGACTTTGCGACCGTCGGAGGCTCTGGGGTTGGCACTGCTAAAGACGACTTCTTCGGACTGTTCATGACCCAAGAAGAGACAATGGGTGTGAAAATCCTTCAGAAGATGGGCTGGCGTCGAGACCAAGGCATCGGTCGTAGGGTGCGTCGGCTCGCTCAATTGCATGATACCGACGCCGGAGCGGAGGCTACGACTGCGTCTGCGCAGCATATGTTTGCCCCGGAAGATGTTCCGCAAATGCCACTGGTCCCCCAGGATCATCGAAACGGACTGGGGTATCAGGCAGAAGCCCGTCTGGCAAAGAATGAAGAGGAGGAGGAAGAAATCAGGACTGGACCTACATTGCATTTCTTGGAACCTACTCCCAAACCGCAGACTCAACGAAAGCTGCCTATAAAGAAGACATCATTTGGCGTAGGTGTGCTGAATGACACTGGGTCCGATGAAGAAGACCCTTACGAGCTCGGTCCGAAGATCACATTCAATAAGACTATAGGCAAGGAAAAGAAAGCGAAGAAACCCAGCAAATTTGCCAAGACAGGAACTGGTGACAAGGTGGTCTATGTACCTAAGAAGGCGGGATCCAGGATTTCTTCCGACATAGTACTCAGATCGCGCGATGGCCACCCGCCTCTTCGTGGTTTTGTTCTGGCGACTGATATACTCCACTCAACAAAGCGCAGGTTTCCACCGCCACAGATACCGCCGGGTTGGAAATCTGCAAAAGGCAATGGTGCAGGAACACCCGCACACGAATTCCAGTCTGTGGCAGATGCTGCTAAGACCTCCACTCTTGATGCAAAAACTCGTGCAGCGTTGTTAGGTGAAACACCGTTACCTACAAAGTCGGTGTTCGATTACATCTCGAAGGAAAATCGCGATCGCATTGCCGCTCTCACGGGCAAACAAGACTTGCCAGAAGGACGTGGGGAGGGTGCTCCTGCTGGCAGTAAGGAAGAGGGGCAAAGATCATTATGGACATTTGTACCCAAGCTTGACAAGGACATAGCTGCTGCTGCCTTGGCTAAAGGCGCGACCGGATGGATGCCATACTCCGAAGACCCAAAGAAACGGGCACGATACGTTGCTTTCCTAGAATTGCGCTCGGGTCTGAGGCAAGAGCTCCCCGAACGCGTTCCCACCATGTCTGTCTCAGATTGGGTAAAAGAGTTGGAGGAATTCGCGCATGCTGCGCAAGTATTCAAGCCTACCTCTGGCATTATGGCGTCGAGATTTACATCCGCGAGCAGTTCCAGTAGTGCCGCCTCAGGAAATGGTACCGCAGGGGACAGCCTTCTTCGTACGCCTACCACAAAACCGGAGGACCCTGCTGAGCAGGCTGCTAAGCTGGGAATGTACGGGCCCATGACAAGAAGTCAATTTCCCTTTCATCCAACACGCCTTCTATGTAAGCGCTTCAATGTTGCGCCGCCCGCGCATGTTCCTTTTGCACCGGAATCTGGAGTAGGCGACGCAAGCGTGAGGGCAAGGGAGGCCGTGTCAAAGCCTGCCATGGACGAGCTTATGCATGAATATCTCACCCGTGGTCCCATGGTTCAACGTCCTGCGTGGATGACTCAACAGTCGGAACAGCCTGTGCCCGTTTCTACATCGCAGCATGCACCCGTGGACGTGGAAAACAACGAAGCGCTTTCCAAGGAGAGGGCACCGGAAGAAGTCTTCAAGTCCATCTTTGGTGATGACGATGACTAACGTGAGGCACGGTAGGCTTTGCTTGTAGACTACGCTATGCAAGTTTCCTTCCAGCCAGAGGTACCTGTAGGTGGCGGTCTAAGGTAAGTGTGCTTTCTCTGCGGAGAGATGGCCGCGTCACCCTGGTCTTCTGAGTTGTAGCTCATGAGGTAGTTCAATGACATTGGATATACTTTGATGTTCGAAGCTCTTAAATTTCATATCTATTCCGCTAACTACATTGCATTTCTGAATACACCTATCGGAAAGGGCCAATCGTGGTTTACCTGATCTTCTATGACATTTCCTGACAAATTGTATTCTCGTGATGGGCATAACCCAGGCCACTGCTTTCCTGCGAAGTCCTTTGTTCAGTTGAGGTTTTGGCTACAGCCCTAGCAACTGGCTTGATTCGACATTGGCGTACGCTCAAGTTCTACTGGTATAGTACCTGCCACTTTCAAAAGGGTGTCTGAAGGTCGTGGATCGCGACTAGTACGATTCTCCCTCAAGGAATCTGGAAGATGTCACAACATTCTTACGTTCGCATATGAGAAGTGTAGCTCACCTTCCTTTTTCTCACTTGTGAGGTATATTCGCTGGACGCCCGACTGGGAGCGCCTTCTCTATTCGTAGCAACATGGAGTGACGCCCTTTCCAATTCCACCGTCCTTGCATTTTACCCAGCTCTAGAGCTTCCGATGCTCATCATTTTCAAGCCTTCCACATATCTTCCACTCGCTACTGATGTCAAGCACTCATTTTTCATTCGTCTACCTGTCCATTTATCCATCCATTCTGGTGCCACTCCAGTGAGGCAAATTAGCGGTTCTCGGCTCGTCGAGTGGCACTATCACCACCTGTGATCAGTGAATGTAAGTCGCAATTCGTCGATTCACTTCGGTATTTATTTCTCTGATGCCAAACAGTGTCGTACCTGGCATGCACACGGATGATTAGGCAGCGACTCTTCCTGGATTGAGACTGTGCTTTGGCGCTGTGCATTTCTTCATCGCATTTTCCCTCGTTTCGACTTCCTTTGCGATTCCAACCCAGTGCACGTCGACAAGTGCCCATACAAGATAACCGGCTCCATCATGATTAGATCGACAACGGCTGTCTTCGTGTTAGCCTACGCTGTTCTAAGCGGAGCTGCCTCAGCAGACAAGACGGTTTCACTCCCACTTTGGAGTGTGCTTGAAGGCAAGGGGTGCGCTACCAACAGTAAGTGGTTCACGATGTCACTGGATCCCAACACTCAATTCACCCCCTGCAGTCAGCATTGGAAGCAACAACGAAGGCGCCACAGTCCTGGTATACACGAATGCAGAGCATCTCTGGATCAATCCCAGCTGCGCGACAAAGAAGGAAGGAGCTAGCGAGAAATGCGAGAGCAGGTCGAGCTATAGCCCCAAAGATTCGCAGACGGCCAAAGAGAGTGGAAACCCGGGTGACTGGATCACGTACAGTATGTACTATGACGCGTCGAATGGGATTGGTACCGGAAATGTCGATGGGATCCTCGGGACGTCATATCAAGATACTGTTACTGTCGGAGGGAAGACGGTGGAGGGCTTGAGGTTCGGTGTCGCTGAGACTCCCCGGAATCTGCTTTATGGAGAACTGAGCATCACGGCTTCCCAGACAAAAGAATCAAGTGGCGGAGCTCTCATCGATGCCCTTGTGAATCAAGGACAGATCAATAGCAGAGTGTTTAGTCTGCAGGTTCCGGTGGAGGACAGGCAAGGTAGTACACTTCCCGTAACAGCGACAATGCAAGAATTAATACTCAAAGCAGGCTCATTGATCTTCGGAGGCTTCGACAAAAAGAAATACAAATGCCAACTTTCAAACGTACCTTTGATTATAGGCTCAACTCCCAGTGAGAGCCCACAGTCAGGATGGCAAGTTACCTCCTCGTCTTCCTGCGGTTCCTCATCCTAACCAATCACAGGTACCGCACCTTTCTGCACGGCATCGCCCAAACCCTTCCCAACAAGACCAAGCCATCTTACACGACTCTGCTCCCGACCACTGGTCTCGAAATCTCCCTCTCCTCCGAGCTTCTTTACAACGTTCTCCCGGACCCCCTCTTCCTAGCCATAGGCAACGACTTCCCTCAGGCGACCCTCATAGACAACCATCCTTCGAAGCCAGATCAGCGCCTCTTTAACGTGCCGTGTAAAGACATCCCCGAGGGATCCATTGACTTCAGATTCGCCGGTCCCACCGTTACCGACAACGACAAAGCTGAGGAGGATGGCGATGACCACAAGAACGGCAACAACAATGAGGCCAACTGGATATCCATCCCCTACAAAGACTTCATCATCACCGACGACAAGGGCACCTGCTGGCTCAGAATGGTGACGAGGAAGGATCAGGGGCCTGCACTCAGCCAATCATTTTTTAGAAGCGCGTACACGGTTTTCGATATTGACAACGGGCAGGTATGGATGGGGCAGGCCGATGACTGTGGAAGTGAAGTTGTGGAGGTTGGGAAGGGGGAAAGTGCTGTTGGAGTGGCTGAGGGGTGTAACTGCGACAAGAGGGACGGAAGGCAGAAGCCGAAGGTGGGGAGTGCGGTAAGGGTGGGTAAAAGGAAAATGGATCTGTGGTTGATTGTGCTGCTGGTTTGGCTGTTGACGGTTATGGATTATTCATAGGATATCGGTTCTTATCGCATGTCATGACATGATAATAAACGGTCCTGTGTATTTTGGTATGATAGCATAAACAGACTGTGAGGTTATCCCTGATCACCGCGTGTTTCCGTGCTCAACACATCTGATAGCGGCGATCTTCGTCAATGTAACCAAGCTCATGGGCAGCTACCATATGAAGGGCACCTATATATCATTAAGACTATAGGGACGGAGTTCAGATGGACTGATGGGGGCTTCAAAGGTGGAAGTTAAGCGAGGCACCCCGGGAGATTTGTCCACGAAGTTATCCTTCATCCTCCAATCAATGGTCGAGGCAACAGCCCCTTTTTCTGCCGAGGTTTCCAGTAGTTTTCCTACTTCTCACTAGTGCAACGGCGCTGCTGACATGTATAAAGCTAAGAAGACCTCGCGCTTTCTTTTTACGCGTTCTTGACCGACCTCTGGATCCACAAGATTTTTCATTCCTTTCGGTGCTCAGCATTCGGTGCTCAGCATTCCACTCGTTTTATCGCAGTCGCTCTTAACAAACCCGGCGCATCTTAACAATCGCATACCGCTTTCCCTCACTTATACAACCCCGACGCCGAACAAATTAACCAAATCGCCCAACCAACAATGGCCACCGCCCTCCTCACCCTCTCGACCCTCGTCACCCTCTCCCTCGCGCAAACCACTGTCTTCCCCATCCGCTACCCAGACGGCAACCCCCAGCAACCGGGCGGCTTCCCCGAAATCTCCGTCATCACCGCCAACAAGGACAGCACCGTCATCGACATGCACTGCCCGCAAGCCACGCCCGACTGCGGCTTCTTCCCCCACCAGACCCTCACCTACGGCGCCTCGACCTGGAAACTCGACATGTCGGTCGACGGCGACGGCGCCTTTACCATGACGCAGGATTGCAGTTTCCCGGCCAACGGCGGCGACGGAAGTGGCGAGGTTGTGTGCAGGGAGAGTGCGAGTGGCAGCGAGGCGAATTTCCCCGGAAGTAGTACCACGACGTATAGTGAGGGGGCGATGTGGGTCATGGCTACGGCGGGCGTCGAGTATCTTACGAATAGTGGTGGTGCGGATGGCACGCCTACTACTGCTACTGGGAGCACGAGCGAGAAGACGCCGCCTTCGACGGCTAGACAGACGTCTTCCGGGTCTGGCACGCCGAGTGCGACTGCAACAGCGGGGGGCTCGAAGCAGACTGGTGCGGCGTCGACGGTGGGAGGTGGGTTGTTTGGTGTGGGCGTTGGGTTGCTTGCGGGACTGGTTTTGTAGATACCCGGGAACTCGGTTACTAATTCTCCAGTAATGGCACGGTTTCATAGCGTTGATGTCCAATGGGTGCCTGGTCTGAGGATGCTGGGAAACTTGTCGTGTAGAGTATCCGAGCGGCGTGGCAGTTCCACGACGTCTCATCCTCCTTTGAAGAATTTGCAAAACCTCCCTCCATGTTCCCCGTTCCTGGTCATGTCCTGCATCGTAGTCAGTACAGATACCAAATACCTCACTTCGATGTGAATGAGATATAGCCCAAGGCGACATTAAACCGAGCATGCAACCTAATTTCTCATTAGCCGTAGCACCCGCTCATTCCACTCTGGATACTTATCAAAAAAGCATATGGCCGTCCATAGGACGGCCTTTCTCCCTTCCCCTGAACCACAGACTCCCCCCTCCACGCCCTCTACCTTTCCATCCTGCGCTCCTCTCCCCAGCACCCACAACTCCCCACCTCAAGCCTCGAACGCTAGCCTCGCAAGGAGCCACAACCACACCCTACAGCAAAGACACTCCCACGATCACAGCCAATCCCACACATGAAACAAGGAGCTACGCGATACCCCACTCAGCCATCTCGACAGACAGGCCGAAACCTTGACGCTCACTCGAGAGAGGTCCTGTTTCGAAGACGAGGGATCCGCGCAAGTCGCTCTATGCCGGTGGGGGTGATGTTTGTTGAGAGGACGCTGTGTCTGGGGGATTGCTATTGGTTCCTGGGGTAGCGTTCCGCTTTTGATTCCTCCTTTCGGAGAGAATTGGCTGTGTTCGTAGAGAGAGGTGGGAAAGCCAGATTGAGTAAGGAAAAATGGTAGGAGGTGGCGGCGCTTCAGGACAAGCCGTCGTCTGGCGTCTCTTCCTCCATAAGTGCTCTTTCTCATCCGCATCAGCACCATCGCTTCCAAGGCCAGGACTTCCCCATCACCAACACAATCCTAGCCACAACCCCAGAACGCACAGCACAACTCCTCACACTCTCGCTCCACCGTGTTTCTTCATGAGAAGCTCCGCTCCGTATGTAAGTGCACGACTTTCAGAGACTAGTCTTTGTTTCCTCTCCATCCCTTTTTGGTATGTAGACGGAGGGCAGTTTTGTGACATGCGGACAAACGACATCCTCAAAAACCGCACGGGCTCCTCATAACAAGAGGAGGATTCGCAATAACATGAGAGCTATTCGAATCAAGAAGAAAAGGGCGCTCGTCAATACAGCTGCACGCTCTACGTACAGGTTGACGACTAACGCGACTGGTCGGACAATACGCATGGTAACTGTGTCGGTGGATTCGAAATCCTTGACGCAGGCTTCGCGATTGTTTTGGGTTGTGTGGGCTGGGGTTGGAGACGAGGTTAGGACAACGAAAACGTCGGTCCTTGTAGGGGTTATCGGGCATGACTGCCATGATTAGATGCACGGGGATCTTCGTCGTTATAACAGTCGCGGATGGGCCCCAACTTGATTGCTGCAAGGGTGATAACGCTGTGTACCAAATGCGACAGTGTAGACTCTCCATGGTGATACCGGCAGAACACTTTCAAGATTTCGGACCGGAGCATGGCGGTTCCGTCATGAGAAAGACTAAAACAGAGCCGGCGACCAAGAGACCTCGCTGGGCACCTCAGGAGAGGCGCCTTTTCTGACGAGTGGATCTCTCGGAACACAGGTTGATTATGTCCGTTTGTAAGACTTCGACCGACCAAAGGTCGGTCAGAACCGCGCTCTTCCTCTGCCTTGTTCAATGTCAAACTGCCAGCGCCATGGAGAGCCCAGTAACCACTTCGTTGCCGCGATCCGGCGTAACAGCTCCCCTTGCAGCTTGCAGGAAGGCGTGCCAACCACGGGGCAAACGGAATGGCAGATCCCCAAAGACGGTCCTCCTGAACGAGGTGTCCGGCATCTCCCACCTATTCTCTCCCCAGCAAAAACCACACAACGAACAATCGACAAGAAGCTGTCCATCGTGACCAGAGTCTGTTGTCCAGATGAGGGGCCCGACGTGGTTCCGCGCATGCGAACTTTAACGCCCCGATGGGCACATGGAACCCCTCAATTAGAGACTCCTTCCTCTCCTCCGCCACGACAGCAGAAGTGAGTTAGGAAGCCTCCCAGACCACGAATCTCCCTTTCGTAAGCACCCTTCTCGCAAGCGTCCGCCTCCATCCCGCAAGGGACCGAGGTTTCCGACAAGCGGACTGGTGGAAGTAGTCGAGAGCTCGGCGACATGACCGCGATGCTTTGCTTCCTCAGCATAATAGTACGACTACCATGCGGGAAATACCCGAGAAATGATTAGGGTTAAGATCCAAGCATGTCCTCCTCACGCGACCGGGTCCCGTCCTTTGACAGGCGGAGCAACATAGGCGCTAGACATGCAAACATCCCATGTGAGACCATGCTGTGAGGCTCGGGTGTATGTCTTTGGCCACGGTTGCGGGACGCGTGAGGCGCCGTGAGGCATTCCGAACTCCTTTTCAGGGGAGATGGAAGACAGTACCTGGTAGCTGTGGGGAAAGTGACGTGCTTTTTCTGATGCTTGGGGCGATCAAGCGAGAGGAGTGACGGTGGAGGGAGGGAAGGTTCTGTGCTGTGGTCCTGGTGTTGGTGACATGGTTAGAGGGTGCGGATGGGTCTGGTCGAGGCCTTGAATCCGGTTCGATGTGAAGGAGGCCGCGCTCTTGGGTGAAAAGAGACAGACGTTGTGATGTTGGGTTGCTGGAAGTGGTTTGCATGGAGGAAGCGTCATGGAGGTGGATCTGGTGCTGTTGGGTGGCTGGGGGACGCGATGGAAACGCGCTAAGTCTTTCAGGTCTAGCGTCATCGCGCGTTCACGTTCCTTCAGGGCTATCAAACCCACTTGTGAGAAAAGGGACCCGTTCCGAACTATACGCAAAGCGTGATAGAAAATGCGTATCCTCAGGAACACCAAATGCAAGCGCATTGCAACAACGAAAATACCCTCGCAACGTGCTAAGAGATCAAAGAGTTCTGACGAAATGGATAGCAGCCTTAGTATATATATAAGATGCATCAGGTATTACGGCTTTCAGCTTATGACTTCGAGCAACTTTAAGCTTACAATCTTTAAGCTTGAACCTTCGAGGTTAGCGCCAACCTTAATTTCACATCACCTCTCTCGTACTCACACAACACTTTATACTCCTACATTGCAACGTCAATCTCTCTTCAACTGAAGTCCGTACGACAACATTTACAGCAATTATAGCGACAACAACCGTGAGTCGCACAATGGCAGAGCAGCGACAACCACAACAACTTATCGATCTCACCAGTCTGTCAAGCCAGTTCCGCAGCGCCGTCCAAGGCCTCAGTCACGAATGGGGCTTCGTCGTCGTGCGCACCGCTTATACCGCCGACAATGACGAGGCAAAGTGGGCGGCCGTCTTATCGAAACTGCGTGCCTATGCTGCTCCCGACTCCTCTCCCGCCGAAATGGACCCCGATAGCTTTGCGCTGCCCGTCATAGCCGACGGCATCCTCCTGCGCGGCGCCGACTTCGCCTCAGTTCGCAAGGCCTTCAACGGATGGGTTGACGATTTCACAAACCGCGAGAGGTCTTCGCGTGCACGTGACGACGACAAGGAGAAGGACGATGAGGAGTGGCCGTCGGACGTCCGCCGCGACTGTTGCATAATCATCGACGAGCCTGCGCTGGCTTCACTGCTCAAGGCGCCAGACTTTGTTCCTGGCAAGATTCCGGAGCTCGATCAGGAGCCGTGGGTCGTCGTCCTCGACGCTGCGGACCCGAAGAACGCACCTTACCGTGGCGGAGGGCCGTACTTGGGCTTCACGAGAGCGCATGCGCGTGTCTTGAGCCAGCTGTATGATGACCTCGGCTCGCGGTCTTTGGCGAGCCTGACTCCTGTGAGAGAGTACGATGGCCAGATCCCGCTTTATGACGGTTCTTCCCGGGGAAAGCTTGTCGACCCGGAGGGTGGGGTGCATGGTCGATACAAGTTTCCCCGGGGCACGCCTAGAGGAGCAGAAGGCGCGCGGGCTATGTTGGAAGAGATTGAGCGGGCTGTGGGCAGTTGACGAACGTTGATCCTTCGGGTGTGTTGAGCATACCGAAGCCCCAGGATTCAATCCTGACTTCGCTGTCGCCGGCCAGAAGATGATTCTGTGCAGCTTCTTCGTATACGGCCGTCCTTGTGTTGAAGAACCGACGATTTGAAGAAAGAGTGAAGTGGAATCTTCTTTGAAAAGCGTGGTTGCAATGCCGGTACATGTGTTGGCGATGATGGCATCGACGAGGACGAGTGACCCGACGCCTTGGCCCAGACTTCCGGCGCCACCAGCCTGCGTCATAACAATCGTCAATACGAGAAGGACTTTGAGAGATTGAACGACCTGCTACTTACGCCTCCCAAAACTACAATGTCTCTGCCACAGGACTCGATGACGAAGCCTTGCTTCGTCCAAGCCCAGTCCCAGTGTACTTGAACAGCCGTCCTGCAGTTGATAAAGCCTGAATGACTCGTCGTGAACTGCTGGTTTCCAAAGTAGGCACTAATTCATTGCGTTAGTGAAGTTGGTTGCAATATCCAAGCCATTCTTCATGTAGATGCCCTATGAAGATAGTAGGACCTGATCCGATGTACACGTTGGAAGCGATGACCCTGAGGCTAACAAACTACACGCGGCCAGGATAGTTGGAACATCAATAGGCTGGAATTAGACACCCATCACACTTCCACTCATAACGAAATAGACTTTGGAGCCGTATATCACCGAGGAGTTGGGTATTGTAGTACTAAATAGTTGAGCTGCTAACGAGGTATGTCCCTCCAGGGAAGAAGACGACGGTCGGGTGGATACTGCTCGAACTACAGTTGGCGCCACACCTATTACGTCCGCGATGGGCGCGTTTAGTAGCAGCTAATTATAATATGCGTAAGTAGTGAGCAAAAATGTATGATGAAAGGAGTAGCGTGGATAGTTCGTTAGATAGTGTCTGCAAGGGATCTAAATAACAAGAAGCAACAATACAGGTCTGACTAGGCTATAGTAGGGCGAGAGATACACGTAGTAGCAAGGGGTAGAGAGGAGAAAGAGTAATTAGAAGTAGATAGCTTGTCTGCAAGGTGTAAAGAGAAAAGCACGGATCTCCGAACTCCGAACGGGCCAGCCTTGGCCTACCGTGACTAATCACTCAACGCCCAGGCCCACTCAACGCCCAAAAATCAAAAAAGCTACCACCACTACCAAAATTCATATCTCAGCCAATTTTGACAATATGGAGGCTGCGCTTGCTGCAATCAAAAGCTTATCATCAGACGAAAAGCCTAATTATAGCAGAATTGCTAGATTATATGGCATTGATCGGTCAACTTTATCAAGGCGTACGCAGGGTCGCCAGTGCTCATGCCTAGAGAGTGTAGAGGAGAAGAAATTTCTTAACACTACACAAGAAAAAGAGCTTACAAACTACATATATAAGCTCTGCAAGAGAGGACTGCCTCCTACAAGGCAAATGATTCGAAATTTTGTGACAGAGATCACTGGAAAAGAGCTAGGAAGAAACTGGGTTTCTCACTATATTGCCCAGCATGACATTGAGCTTGTATCACGATGGACTACTGGTATTGATGTCTGTCACCACCACGCTGATTCTGCTACCAAATACGCCTTATACTTCAAGCTTTTAGGTGAGAAAATAACCCAGTACAATATCAACAGTCGGTATATGTACAATATGGATGAGAAAGGGTTCCTTATTGGAGTACTCACCAAGATGAAATGAGTGTTTTCATGGCAGCTGTATGAGCAGAGCCCTCATAAGCAAATGTTTCAGGATGGTAATAGAGAGTGGATAATGACAGTTGTATGTATTTGCATCTATAGCACTATGCTGATGCCAGTCCTGATTTATCAGGCTACTATAGGTAATATTCAAGACTCATGGCTTCAAGATTTTGACCCAAAATGGCATAAGGCCTTTTTCACGAGCTCACCAAGTAGGTGGATCAATAATGAGATTGGTTTGGTGTGGCTTAAACAAGTATTTGATCGCGAGACCAAGGAGAAAGCTCATAGGGTCTACCGACTACTCATTCTTGATGGCCATGGCTCTCACATCACCATGGAATTTATCACGTATTGTGATAATAACAAAATACTCTTTACAACCTTTCCACCACATGCTACCCATACTCTACAACCACTCGATGTGGCGATGTTCAAGCCTCTTAGTACTGTATATAGTTGTCAGATTTGATGGTATCTGAAGATGTCACGGTGAC